GTCTGTGTATGTCTAGATCAGTGTTTTGTGTCTGTGTATGTCTAGATCAGTGTTTTTGTGTTTGTGTATGTCTAGATCAGTGTTTTTGTGTCTGTATGTCTAGATCAGTGTTTTGTGTCTGTGTATGTCTACTTAGATCAGTGTTTGTGTGTCTGTGTGTCTAGATCCAGTGTTTTTGTGTTTGTGTATGTCTAGATCAGTGTTTTTGTGTTTGTATGTCTAGATCAGTGTTTTAGTGTCTGTGTATGTCTAGATCCAGTGTTTTTGTGTCTGTGTATGTCTAGATGGTGTTTTTTGTGTCTGTGTATGTCTAGATCCAGTGTTTATTGTGTCTGTGTATGTCTAGATCAGTGTTTTGTGTTGTGTATGTCTAGATCAGTGTTTTGTGTTTGTGTATGTCTAGATCAGTGTTTTAGTGTCTGTGTATGTCTAGATCAGTGTTTTAGTGTCTGTGTGTATAGGTAGTGTTTTTAGTGTCTGTATGTCTAGATCAGTGTTTTGAGTACTGTGTACATGTCTGAATCCTGTTTTAGTGTCTGTGTATGTCTAGATCAGTGTTTTGTGTCTGTGTATGTCTAGATCAGTGTTTTTAGTGGTGTGTATGTCTAGATCAGTGTTTTTAGTGTCTGTGTATGTCTAGATCAGTGTTTTTAGTGTCTGTGTATGTCTAGATCAGTGTTTTTTGTGTCTGTGTATGTCTAGATCAGTGTTTTTAGTGTTTGTGTATGTCTAGATCAGTGTTTTTTGTGTCTGTGTATGTCTAGATCAGTGTTTTTAGTGTCTGTGTATGTCTAGATCAGTGTTTTTTGTGTTTGTGTATGTCTAGATCAGTGTTTTTAGTGTCTGTGTATGTCTAGATCAGTGTTTTTAGTGTCTGTGTATGTCTAGATCAGTGTTTTTGTGTCTGTGTATGTCTAGATCAGTGTTTATTGTGTTTGTGTATGTCTAGATCAGTGTTTTTTGTGTTTGTGTATGTCTAGATCAGTGTTTTTAGTGTTTGTGTATGTCTAGATCAGTGTTTTTAGTGTCTGTGTATGTCTAGATCAGTGTTTTTTGTGTCTGTGTATGTCTAGATCAGTGTTTTTAGTGTCTGTGTATGTCTAGATCAGTGTTTTTTGTGTTTGTGTATGTCTAGATCAGTGTTTTTTGTGTCTGTGTATGTCTAGATCAGTGTTTTTAGTGTCTGTGTATGTCTAGATCAGTGTTTTTAGTGGTGTGTATGTCTAGATCAGTGTTTTTAGTGTCTGTGTATGTCTAGATCAGTGTTTTTTGTGTCTGTGTATGTCTAGATCAGTGTTTTTAGTGTCTGTGTATGTCTAGATCAGTGTTTTTAGTGTCTGTGTATGTCTAGATCAGTGTTTTTAGTGTTTGTGTATGTCTAGATCAGTGTTTTTTGTGTCTGTGTATGTCTAGATCAGTGTTTTTAGTGTCTGTGTATGTCTAGATCAGTGTTTTTAGTGTTCGTGAATAGATAGATTAGTTGCTAACATTACTGTATGAGGGCGTGGGGTAGATCTATCTAGGTGTGTGGGCGTGGTGGGAGAGACTTACCTGTGCGTGGGCGTGAGGAGAGACAGGAGTCATTCTGAGGGCTGTGAGGATACCGTGTAACTTCTCCCGCTGAAAGACACAAAAGAGTGGATTACTCTCTCTCTCTCTCTCTCTCTCTCTCTCTCTCTCTCTCTCTCTCTGTATCTCTCTCTTCTCTCTCTATCTCTCTATCTCTCTCTCTCTCTATCCTATCTGTCTCTCTCTCTCTCTCTCTCTCTCTCTCTCTCTCTCTCTCTCTCTCTCTCTCTCTCTCTCTCTCTCTCTCTCTCTCTCTCTCTCTCTCTCTCTCTCTTCTCTCTCTCTCTCTCTCTCTCTCTCTCTCTCTAAACATCAATATAAACACTTAAGTCTGTATGACTGTTCGCTAAGGTGTTAAAACATCAAAAGCAATGTATTATGAAAGAGAGGAAGACAATGATAAAGGAAGGAATAACACAAAACAGATGATAATTGTTAGTTTATGTGAGTCTTTTGTTTTGGTTGATGGGTTTTTATTTGTGTTTTTGTTCACCTGAAGATTAGTTCTCCCACCACTAGCTTAACCTAACCTACCATGATGTAACCAAATTTAACCTAACCTACCTTAATATAACCAAATTTAACCTAACCTAACCTAACCTAACCCAACAAGGCCGAAAATTTTAGCATGAGAATTCGGGTACTTTGTTTTGATCCGTATCCAGGTGTGACAGAGAGACAGGTGAGACAAATAGATGAGCCAGACAGACAGACAGACAGATTAAAACTAACATAAACACAAGCTACAGACATAGACATATTCAGACAGGCAGACACAGACACACACCTCAGTAGATATATAGTCTGGAGAAAGACATATCAAATAGAGAGTCGATATATCCTTGACAACGGTAGAAAGAAGAGTAGACGTATTATCCCCTTCAATACTGAGTTTCAACAGTACACAGAAGACATTGATGATAATAGTGGTGATAGATTTAGCCATAATGAGTAGAAGTGGTGTTGAGAAATAAGCATTGAAGAGTCGTTGTTGTTGGTGAAGGCTGTAGGTGGTTTGTGCCGCGTCCATCAGGTCTTGTGTGAGTTTGGTTTCATCTAAGGAACACATTTTCTTCCATGTGGAGCTTACAGATACGATAACCTTCATATTTTTGTATTTTAAGGATTCATCTGGTGGTAATGGTGGTGGTGATGGTGGTGAGTCACTTGGGGTCATCTGAGGGTTGATGAGATCGGGGTGATTTTCGTTGTATTTCCAAATGGTCTGAGATGTAAGATGGGATTGGAATACATCTGAGATATTTCTGTATCCTGCGGCGAAGATGACTGCAATGGAATGGTAGAGAAAGATCATAGCGGCTGCAGGCATAGTTATCGTAATTTTAAGGAGGAAGTTAACAATAGCGGAAATATCGACAATAATTAGACTTTCATGATCCATCGGGCCATTCAGTGCTCCCGCGTTAATAAAATCAACCGCCTCAGATATGAAAGAAGCAATAGTAGCAAACAGAGTAAAACTTCTCATTAAGTCACATCTGGAAGGTAGTAGGTTGACGCCGCCAGGATGGAAAATACTGCTTAGTTGCGTTACGATCACAGCCAGAGTGGAACATTTGATTTTCATGTGCCATAGTAACCCACCCGCTGCCAATACCCAGATAAATTGAGCGATCACCGAAGCTACTGCCTCCGTCGGAAGATCGAGACTAAACAAGAATAAAATGCGGAGGTAGATCATCAGACTAAGCCCGTACTGAACCACAGACCAGTAGGTGTAGATCCCTGACCATATGACCCACCGTCTCTTCTTCACCAGGATACTAGGCGGGAACACCCTGTCTCGTGGTGATGATTTAGTTCCTTCACAAAATCGCTTCTTGGATGTCTTGGCCTCAGCATCTGCCCAGGAGTAAGGGAGACCACCAAATAACCGGAGTACTAAGAGACTCCAGTAGAACACTCTCAATGGAGGAGTCTTAAACTGGGAAAACTTGAAGAGCCTCATTCTTTCTTATCTAGCAGGAGTTTCAGGAGTCTTAGAGCTGATATCTCCCTATACTGATGTGTCCAACTCCACCTCAAACAAGTAACTGTGAGATACTATACAGACTGTTATATTCTCTGCACCTCATCTATGCTGATTGCTCCTTCGATCTTGTAAACATTAAGCTGGTCAACACACACACACGGACACCTCCAGAGAGAACGATCGAACTAACTTGAGAATATTAGATAAGGTTTGTGTCTGTACTAACCAACAAGCTCATGTACCTGCTGACTCTTGAATAACGAGAACAACAACAACAGCAAGAAGACTAAGAACAAGAATAACAAGAACAAGAATAGCAAGAACAAGAATAACAACAACAAAACAAGGAGAATAAGAGCCAAACAACACGAACACAACACAAACACAACAAGAATAACACAGACAATAACACCTTTTCCAGCTCGTGTTGTTACAATATATAATATTAATCAACATGACATCGCCTGTTGATTTTCACTTCAATCCAGAGCCTTCAAGACCCTTACGATGTGGTGCTGAGTGATAAGTGTTTACATTCACTCTAAGATGCACTCGGCCTTATGAATACTATTGTGCTGTACATATATACATACATACATACATACATACATACATACATACATACATACATACATACATAGTTAGGAGAGGTAAACAAATGGATCTTGTTATTATTTATTGTTCAAAGTCAAGACACACACACACACAACATGAGCTACAGCTAGTGTGTTTCTTTAACGTACATAATGCGTCCTTGAAAACACGTACGTTAAGTGGATGTACGTAAAGCGGACACTAACTGTATATGATTCAAAGTCGAAGAGGGAGAGAGAGGGAGAGGGGGAGAGATGGGGAGGAAGAGAGAGGGGGAGGAACAGAGAGGGGGAGAGGGGGAGGATGAGAGAGGGGGAGGAAGAGAGAGGGGGAGGAACAGAGGAAGGAGGAAAGAGGGAGAGGAAGGAAGGGAGAGAGGGGGAGAGGGAGAGAGGGGGAGGAAGAAAGAAGGGGATAGAGGGAGGGAAGGAGACGCAGACCATTTTTTTGTTTTCCATAGAATAAATTCCTCATTGTATTAATAAACTATCTACTGTATTAACACACTAACAGTTCAAAAGTTTACTTAGACAAAAGTTTAATAATAAAAATCAATTATCCATTAATATCTAATAACTGGTGAAGCCGAATATTGATGTTAATGTTATTGATGTTAATATGTGTTGAAATATTGATGTGTTTTTGGAGTTAAATTTTTGTAAGAGTTGAATTTCTTGTTTATATTAACTAGTTATAGAGATCATGACTATAAGTAGAGATATTATAGAAGATAATAGAGAAACCTTCATATAATGGACTTTTTTTTCTCCATATAATCCGTTAAATGGAGGGATTTCACATTTGTTCCTCGATATAATGGACTTTAAAGATTATAGCTCATTAGCTTGGGGGGGGGGGGGTTTACATCATGGACTCTGCTCATTATAGAAAGACTCATCCCCCAAACCTAACCTAACCAAACCTAACCTAACCAAACCAAACCTAACCTAACCTAACCAAACCTAACCTAACCTAACATGGCGTATCAGCATCACACAATAGCGTTAGTTTTCTTCCTCAACTTGACAGAAACGACGATGAACAGCGCGAGTGTACAGACACACACGCCTCCCAGGATACCAGTAGCTATTTGGAACTGTTCCTTCTCCCGTACCTGTTTGTCGTAGGCGTCCTTATCGACCAGGTGTGGGTTGGGTGTAGTGCTGGGTGGCTGTGGGGGAGGTGGTGGGGGAAGAAGGATAAATAATAAGGCTTTAGTTATCATTTCTCCGATAATGGCTTAGGTCATAATCTGATAAGGTTGGTTAGGTTTGTTTATACAGGAGGTCTTATGATATTAAGATGGCATTGGCGTGTGTGTGTGTGTGTGTGTGTGTGTGTGTGTGTGTGTGTGTGTGTGTGTATGTGTATGTGCGTATAAATCCTTATCACGACCAAAAGTAAGTTTGCTGTTACTAATAATTATACCCAGCCATCACCAAAAAATAAACACACCCCAGTAACCTAACCTAACCTAACCATAACCTAACCTAACCATAACCTAACCTAACCATAACCTAATCTAACCTCAGTAGTAGGGTCAACGAGGTCACGGTGATAGTTCCATCGTTTGGTGTAGTCGAGGTTCATGGTGAAGTTGTCAGTGATGAGCATAAATTGTTGTCCCTCGAGGGTGAACGGTCGCCACTCTTCCACCTCGCCCTTCCACCTCTCCCCCTCGTACGCCACATCTTGAGGAGTTGGGTTACTGTCAGTGAAGAAAGACTTGAGTTAATAGTGTGTGTGTGTGTGTGTGTGTGTGTGTGTGTGTGTGTGTGTGTGTGTGTGTCATCACCTGTTATAGCTTATAGTCATCTGCTTTTACACGTACAGTGGCCCAAATAAAGTACAATTTACGTACACAATCACACAATAACGTACGTATAAGCAACTCAGGTAAATGAAGGTTAATTGAGCTATTCTCCAGGCCAGGTAAACTTACCCGTATTTAGCGAAATTAGTCCACAGTGTCACCATACGATTCACCATCACCTTCTGGCGGTGGTCCATATCGGCAGGTAGGTGGAACAGGTAAAGTAACTCATCAGTGTGGGCTACATCTGTGGGAGTGAGGGAAATATATATATATATTTTTTTTAATTTTCACTTTTTCTCTTTTGTTTTTGTTTTTCATTTTATTTCTCTCTTTTGCCATCTCACTCTTTTTATTTTTTGTTATCTCTCTCTCTCTCTCTCTCTCTCTCTCTCTCACCTCCATGAACGGGAACGTCAGGCATGGAGAGAAATATCCAAGGAAAGAGAGAATCATCACTCTCAAACTCCCATGAGTAGAAGTAAACAGGGACCTCTGGCGCTGCCTTGTACATAGCGTGAACTGCCTCCCATAGACCAGACTTAAGGAACATCACCCCACCCATCTAGTGAAGGAGTGGCAGAAGAAGGATCTTTTATTAATTACCTTCAATTTATTTCAACTGTTATTTTATATTTTTTTTTTTTGGCTAAAATTAACCTAACCTAACCTAACCTAACCTAACCTAACCTAACCTAACCTACAAGACCATATACTTACATCTATCATACCACCCACCATGGTATCCCACTCCCCCATGATGGCATTAGGGAAATAACCCACTTGCATGGTATTTGTCACAGCTCCATTCTTGTCATCAATACCTGTCCAAGAGAGGGGAAAAAACTAATTAATTACAGGTTGGGGGAAAAAAAAGATATATTCCTAAGGTTAATGATCACAACAAATACAAAACAACTTATATACCGAGAAGTTAATATATAAAGACAACAACGACACACACACACACACACACACACACACACACACACACACACACACACACACACACACACACACACACACACACACTTACCAAACGCATTGATGAGAGTATGAACAGCCTCGTCTCTCATGAACTCTGTATCGTTAGTCGTGTGGCCATTGGGGTAGAGGAAATCTTTGTAGGTCACTGTAGGTATGTATACAACCATTACTTCAGGAAGGTGTTGGAGGTATGCATAATTATTGTAGGTATACATAATTATTTGATGGTATACATAAATATTAAAAGTATTCCTATTCATTTATACTACTTCTATAATGCTCTCAATAAACACTTATATTTAATTAATTACTAAACTTATACTTACTTATATTTCTCTAAAGTTACTATTTACTATTAACGATTTACTATTAACTATTTACTATTTAATATTTAAATTTATGTTGATGATTCTGAACCTATACAAATGATTCTGAAAGTATACTAAAGATTCTGAATAATCAAGAGTGATTCTTCCTTACAGCCAATAACAAGAGATCCTTCGTCGCGTACACTACCAGTCATGACAGGTATCTTGAGGAAGTCTCCCTTCTGCAGGGTGGTTCTCGGGTCTTCGGGAATCACTAATTCAATGCCAGAGTCCTCCATACCGCTCTGGATAACCGGACACAATCCTTTGAAACCAAGGCCTCCTGCTCGCCTGTCTCGTCCCTGTGTGAGAGAGTGAGACAGGAAGAGAGAGAGAGAGAGAGAGTTAGAAAGATCGTGAGAGGGAAAGAGAGACGAAAATAAATACAAATTCTATTCCTTAGCATAAATAGAGACAATCACCTACAAACACTTACATAGAGAGTTAAAGAAGCTTGGGCAATTTCCTGGAAACTTCTGCTTCTCATACATATTATCATCTCGTCTGTGTTATTCGTCTCTTCCCCCGCACAGTCCAGCAAGGTAGCGGTATCCATGAATGACTTCTCGGGATTATCGTCAATGGTCCAGATCTCAAGGGAGGAACCGCTCTCAGGAATAACCCGATGGAGAAGTTGTCTACCGTTGTTGTTAGGTGTTGTTTCTGGGGGGGTTAGGTTAGGTTAGGTTAGGTTTGGTTAGGTTTGGTTAGGTTAGGTTTTGTTTAGTGGTAAGGGTAAAGGAGAGTTAAAGGGGTGAGGTTAAGGGGTCAATGTGGCACTCACCATTAGTAAGGGAAGTCATCTGTAACCACGAGGCACTGGCACCTCCTGCACTCTGGCCAAATACCGTCACCTTGTCCGGGTCACCTCCGAAATATTGTATATATTTCTGTATCTGTAGAGAGAGAGAGAGAGAGAGAGAGAGAGAGAGAGAGAGAGAGAGAGAGAGAGAGAGAGAGAGAGACTGATTAGTATTTATATGGAGAACACTTCATAATGGCTATAGCAGTACAAAGTAATTATCAAACACAAATATATCAATACACACACACACACACACACACACACTAACACACTACATACATACATACATACATACATACATACATACATACATACATACATACATGAGAAGCTGTATACCTACCCAGCGGAGAGCCTCTATCTGGTCCATAAGTCCCATGTTACCTGGTGCCTCAGGTGTGCCCCCAGCCAGGAACCCTGTACATGTGAGAACGACAGGTGAGTATTCTTGGACCCTCACGATGATTTTATGACAGGTTAATTATCATTTTATTTTTTGTGTTATTTTCTTTGTTGTTAATTTACAGTTGAAATAATTGTTTGGTTTAACATTATAATTGTGAGAGGTTTGTGGTTTTAGAAGTTGTTAATTGTTTTATTATTGGTTTAGTCTACATCACTATACACTACTGCTACTGCTGTTACGTTACTACTAGTTTATATACTACCACTACTACTGCATACTGCTACTGCACACTACTACCACCACCACCACCTCTACTACCACCACTACCCCTCACACCACTACTACACCCACCACCCACTACCACCACCCCTACCCACTACCACCCACCTACTACCACCTACCCACTACCACCCACCCACTCACCTAATGTCCCGAGGCGATACTGGACCACTACTACCATCACGTCCCGGTCCATTAACTTCGTGGGGACATACAGGTTAGCGTCCCCCGTCATGTAAGATCCACCGTGAATCCAAAACATCACAGGAAGACCCACTCCTTCCCCTAGCTCCTCCTTCAGCTGATAGGAGGTCACCAAAACACCTTTCATTAGTAACACGCCCCTGACATGGTCCTGACCTATATCTTGACGAGTTAGCTGATTGTGGTCTTAAATATGACATGCGTTAGCTGATTGTGGCCTTAAATATGACATGAGTTAGCTGATTGTGGCTTAAAATATGACATGAGTTAGCTGATTGTGGCCTTAAATATGACATGAGTTAGATGATTGTGGCTTAAAATATGACATGAGTTAGCTGATTGTGGCCTTAAATATGACATGAGTGAACTGACATGACTTAACACACACATTTGTTACTTATTTTACACTTGATTATAATAATAGTATTTATATATGCAAATGAACCATGTCAGAGGGGGAATTACCAGCGGGTGTAGGGAGGGTGTAGAGAGTTACCAGGGGGTGTAGGAAGGGTTTAGAGGGGTGTAGGGTGGGTGTAGAGAGTTACCAGGGGGTGTAGGACGGGTTTAGAGGGGTGTAGGGTGGGTGTAGAGAGTTACCAGGGGGTGTAGGATGGTTTAGAGGTGTAGGGTGGGTGTAGAGAGTTACCAGGGGGTGTAGGAAATGTAGCGAGGATGTAGAAGTATATATATTTACCTGAGGGTGTAGGGAGGGTGTAGATAGTTACCAGGGGGTGTAGGAAGGGTTTAGAGGGGTGTAGGGAGGGTGTAGAGAGTTACCAGGGGGTGTAGGAAGGGTTTAGAGGGGTGTAGGGTGGGTGTAAGGAGGTTGTAGGTGGTGTAGAGAGGGTGTAGAAGTATATATACATATATACTAACCTTCGGGGTGTAGATGCTGACATGTAGACAGTCTTCCCTGCCGCCCACAATGCTTCGGATAAGTGACTCCTGGGGACACCTCGCCCTCAACCAAGTGGCTTCGTAGTCACCCTCAACCTCCGAGTCCCACTTACCGGTCCATGGCTCGGGATACTGATGAAAAACAAGTGAGAATTATCAAGCGTATGATCATTTGTGTATGTTAGGTTAGGTTAGGTTATGGGTAGGTTAGGTTAGGTTAGGTTAGGTTAGGTTAGGTTAGGTTATGGGTAGGTTAGGTTAGGTTAGGCTAAGGAAACGACAACTTATAACTCAAAGACAAGACATAATCCCACCTGATTTACCTGTTTACCTGTCTAGACTTTTATTAGCTCAGGTAACAATAATATAAGCAAAGATTATAATGTTATCACCGCCATTAAGTAGTAAGTGATAACGAGGCTAGTAGATAGATAGATAGATAGATAGATAGATAGATAAAGAATTACATACATACATGCATACATACATACATACATACATACATACATACATATATACATACATACATACATACATACATACTAAATATTTCATTGTATTCGTATGTTAAAAACTGTAATAGGTGCTTCAGTAAATGTGTATAATCCAGTTTTAACCTGATACAGTTATCTCTTAACAGGTAGTTCGCTTTAATGACCAATTTTTACTCCAGTAGTGATGATGTTTTAGATGTTATGACCTTGATGTTGTTGTTATCTCAGTCACCCCCCCCCACCCCACACAGATCAACAGGGTGTCTCAAAATATATTCACTACATGACAGATTTTCATTGATATCAGGTGTAAGTAATTTTCTGAGACACACTGTAATTGTAAGATAGGGGGTGTAAGTAATTTTCTGAGACACACTGTAATTGTAAGATAGGGGTGTATGTAATTTTCTGAGACACACTGTAATTGTAAGATAGGGGTGTAAGTAATTTTCTGAGACACACTGTAATTGTAAGATAGGGGTGTAAGTTATTTTCTGAGACACACTGTAATTGTAAGATAGGGGTGTAAGTAATTTTCTGAGACACACTGTACTGTAATTGCCCAACTCCTCTCCGATTGGGTTGTTATCATAACGACACTCGAACAGTTAAAGAATATAAATTGACTGAGTAAAGAAGGTAATTAGAATTTTTTATTTAAGTAGTGCAGATCAAGGGCCCGTCCACTTAAGGACATAGTAATTAGCTCTATTAGATAAATAATGATAAAAATAATGAGTACTATGATAAATCTTGAATAATTATTGAACTGATAGGAATTAAATTAAACACTTGACCCGGTAGTCTCTGTGTAGTAAGAATTATTAGATAACTTAACCTAAATTAACCTCATTTATATTACAGGTAACATAATTTAACCTTACCTAACCTAACCTAACCTAAACGTAACCTAACCAAACCTAACCTAACCTAACCTAACCTAACCTAACCTAAACGTAACCTAAACTAACCTAACCTAACCTATCTCACAGGTAACCTAATTAAACCTTACCTTGAATCTTCTGTCGCCCACGGGAGGCATTGCGTACGGGATACTCATGAAGGCGTAGAATTCCCTCCCTAGGAAAGACTTCAAGACCCTTCCTCTCGCTGTCCCCAGACCTTCAACATACACCTGGGGAGCTGAGACACCCGATCCTTCCTCTTCGTCCTCCTGCTGCTGTAGATCCTCTAGCTTGGGTCCTTCTCCTCCTCCTCTTCCTCCCTCTGTCTCTCCTACTGCAGTCTTCATCATCAGGGGAGGTGATTGGTGGAGATGGACGATGCCGATCTCCACCATTACGAGAAGCACCACCAACACACACGCACGTCTACCACCCATCGCCATGACCTTGCCAGCGAGAAATTAGTCAGGCTATTTCAAGGGGCTGAAGTGGGTGTTATTAATATCCCATAAGCTTCCTCGTTAAACCTTCTTCGTTAAACCTTCCTCGTTAAACCTTCTTCGTTAAACCTTCCTCGTTAAACCTTCTTCGTTAAACCTTCCTCGTTAAACCTTCCCCGTTAAGGTAATTGAAGCCTCTGATACCCTCACCTGACTGAAGCTTCCTAACGGTGAGAGTTTTGAGGCTTCAGAGAGATGGTTGACTCAAAACTACCCAGTAAGGCTCACGACCAAGTACTACAATGCCAACGTTCTCAGTACCCAGCTCAGAGTGGTGTGAACTCGGCCGGTCACCCCTGATAACGACACCTGTAAGCTAAGTGGGTTTTTTCTTCAATTAATATGGATCAGTTATGTAAGATTATTATTATTATTATTATTATTATTATTATTATTATTATTATTATTATTATTATTATTATTATTCAAGATTGTTTTGTAGGGAGGAAATTTCAGTGGGATATTTTTTTTTTTGTCCAGTGAAATATTGTCCTTTGAGTTTTCGTAAGTGGGATTTTTTTGTCCAGTGGGATTTTTTGTCCAATAGAAAAATCATGATAATACAAATCTTTTAGACCCTTGATGATTAACTTAACCCAAGATTATTATTATTAGACGAGGTATTAAGATAAGCTGATAACAAAATTTACAATGTTCTTGTTAATCCAATTGAGTTTATAAGAGAATTAGTATTAGTCTCTCTCTCTCTCTCTCTCTCTCTCTCTCTCTCTCTCTCTCTCTCTAAATTAACTTACAAAAACTAACCCTTTAATATTGAGTAATAAAATGTTAAAATATATCACTTTTTTCACTAAGTCATAATACCAGAATAAATATTATTTTTTTATATAAAGACAGAGAAGAGAGTGAAGGACAATTGAGTTTTATTTTGTAATAATAATAACAACTTTAGATTACTTCCTATAGTGAAACCTCCATATAACGGACTTTATCTTTCCATTAATCCGTTATATAAGGATTTCACATTTACGGAATCCTCGATATAACGGAATTTATCTCTCCATTAATCCGTTATATAAGGATTTCACATTTACGGAACCCTCGATATAACGGAATTTCATCTTCATATAGTCCGGTAAATACAGCTTTCCTCTACTCAGTTACCAATGTACTCTCTGCGTTCCCCCTTCAGTGATAAGCTATAATAAAAATGTATATATATATCGACTGACCTTGGGTAGTGATAATGGAGGTTCAGTTTTATCTCAGGTTTAGTGGTTTTTTGTTTTTTGATTTAATACCGATTTTAACCCATGAGTTACGTAAGGTTTTGGTTTGGTTGGGTTTGGTTGGGTTTGGTTGGGTTTGGTTAGGTTTGGTTAGGTTTGGTTGGGTTTGGTTAGGTTTGGTTAGGTATGGTTGGGTTTGGTTAGGTTAGGTTAGGTTAGGTTAGCTTTGGTTGGGTTGGTTTGGGTTTGGTTAGGTTAGGTTAGCTTTGGTTGGGTTGGTTTGGGTTTGGTTAGGTTTGGTTAGGTTTGGTTGGGTTGGTTTGGGTTTGGTTAGGTTTGGTTAGGTTTGGTTTTGGTTATTGGTTGGTTTGGTTGGGTTTGGTTGGTTTGGGTTTGGTTGGGGTTTGGTTGGGTTGGTTTGGGTTTGGTTGGTTTGGGTTGGTTTGGGTTTGGTTGGGGTTTGGTTGGGTTGGTTTTGGTTTGGTTGGGTTTGGTTGGGTTTGGTTAGGTTTGGTTGGGTTGGTTTGGGTTTGGTTGGGTTGGTTGGGTTAGGTTAGAGGCTCCTTAACTTGTGTTATATATATTATCAACTAACCACAATATCAGGAGACAAAGATTCTCATAAACACACTAACGGGTCAATAAGTCAACAGGTAAACAGTCCAACAGGTAAATAGTCTAACAGGTCGACAAATCAACAGGTAAACAGGATAATTAACAGAAGATCACCTTGTGTTTCTGTTGCTCCCGACAACAGATGTACGCGAGCATTTTAAGAGAGACTACTTGACCACGTATAGATCACACCACTGATAGAGAGCGAGAGAGAGAGAAAGAGAGAGAGAGAGAGAGATATATATATATATATAGAGAGAGAGAGCAAGCGAGAAAAAGAGAGAGAGATGAAGCAATAAGGTCAAGAGAGAATGAGGAGAATTTAGGTATTACGTGATACCTTTAATTAACCCTGTCTAAAGGTATCACATAACACCCCCTCCTCCTCCCTCCCCCTACGTTAATAACACCTGGGATCTTAATTACTGGTGATCCTTTAGTAATAATAATAATTAAAGAAATCTCATTAGACGTCATCCACACGTTATCTAGTCAGGTTATCTTTTGTGGCTTATCAAACGCATCAGTTTACCTCACCTCCTCGATCAATAGGTAAAAAAGAAAATGTCTCCAAGATAACAATATTTTATGAAAAGTTACACTGTATGATTTTATTCTGTTTCTAATTGAACCAACTATCAATGAGGACTCTCTCTCTCTCTCTCTCTCTCTCTCTCTCTCTCTCTCTCTCTCTCTCTCTCTCTCTCTCTCTCTCATTCCCTATCTGAAAGTCATTTGCTTACCTGACTGACTGACATCAAAACACCAGTCGACTCACTTGAAAGGGGAAATCATCCACTGAACGAAAAAATATCAACACTGGCACAGCGTCCAATTTACTTCTTTTTTTCTTAATTCGTGTTTACATTACGGTTTTTTTTTTATTGTTTTAGTATGATTATAGGAATTGATCTTTTGTGATGAACAGAACCAATTGAAGTTTAACCTCCCAGTTTATTTCACCTGGAAGAATTCTTGAGTATTCATTGTAGTTTGTGGGTAGTAATATGAAACTCAGGTGTATGACACAAATGGGAGATTACGGCCGATATGTAGTGAAGATAAACACTCTGTGAATAAATGTTAAGAAATTGTTTATGTTTGTGTGGTATAGCAGAGAGTTAGGTTAGGCTGGTTTAAGTTAGGTTAGTTTAAAGAGTACTAACTTAATGGTACCTTAAGGGCATATATTCCTATCTATAGTAGTGTTTTAGATATAATAGAAGATTATATGAGGATTATATATAACATGGAGTAGAAGAGGTGATAAATTGATATACAGTAAGTTTGTTTCTTCTGCAGGTTGAAATATGTATATAAGTCTACCCTGTAACTTCAACGGGGTACATTCATTTTCTTTTGTGAATAAGAGTATGGATGGGGGACACTAAGGTAAATCAGAGAATGAGAGAGTGAGTGATACAAAGAGAATGAGATAGAGACAAGTAGGGTTAGAGAGAGAAAGACGTTAAGTGAGAGAACGAAAGAAGGAGAAATAGATAAATACAGAGAGATAGAGAGAGTATCCACACACACACACCTTCACTCACCAGATACTTTCGACATTACAGATAAACAGAAGTTGTTGTTATCCATCACGAGGCCGCTCAAGGTGTTATCATTTTATCTTGTTGTGGTTCCATTATCTCCTCATTAAGAACACTAATGGCGCCGATTTTCAGATTAATCTCACGGTAACCAGACGGATTGAGATGGATATGGAGGTCGTTTAGGCGCCTTCAGCAAATAAAGTCATTCTAACTTTTACCTATAATAAATACTATAATCGTGAATAATTACTTCTATGGTGTTATTTTTAAGTTTTCATTATTTTATTTTATTTTTGTCTATTTTGTTGTGTATAAGTGGAATGGTTTTATTTAGTTAATTCGTTAGTTAGTTACTTAGGAGGAAAATTGCGTTTATTTTTTCGTGTTGTTGTTTAAAGGTATTCGAGTCACCTATAGTGTAACTTAATAATAATGACACATAAGAAATTTCTTCATCGTCTATACGTTCATTCTTACTGAAGGTCGTAGATACGTTCTTGAGAGAATTGGATATATTTCTCAACTCATATCTTCAAGATCATTGGTTCGTGTACCAAAGCAGCCACAGCTTACTCCTTGGTATATAAACACCTAACTTTACAGCTGAGAAAACGAAGGTGGTACAGTTCAGTGCTTCCTTACGTACGGGAAATTCTCTCCTTCTCCACTATGTTATCTATCTACACCACGCCAAACTCACTTGAAGATGATATATGATATAATTGTATGTATTGTGCAGGTAAACACTAGTATACTGAAACACGAAAAAATTCCCAAACATTGCCGTCTTTATTCACATCATCAGGGAGTTGTGTTAAGGAAGACGAGAATGTTTTGTGTGTGTGTTGGTGGTGTTATGTGTCCTTTTTCTTCTCTTACTTTTCCTCTTTGCTTCCTTCCTTGTGTTACTCTTCCCACTTCTACTACTACTACTACTACTACTACTACTACTACTACTACTACTACTACTACTACTACTACTACCACGGCCTCAAACCTCCCCTTATAGCCAACCTTTTGCCATCATTTTATTGCCAATCCTAATACAAAAGTAACTACCCTAGCTGACTTAGTTAAACCATAGATCCTTGCGCATTCTGTGACTGTTGCCTCATAGTCTATGTCTGTGGGTGTTGTTTGTTTCTGGGCCGATGATCTTGTTCTCCTGAGGCAAAGCAATGCAGACCTGAACAACCAGGCTACGACATAACTTCTGAGCTGCTGCTTCTGTTTTGATAACACCTCAGCTGCCTTGGTCCACGTTCTTGATTCTCTTTGTCTACTCTCTGTTGTTGGCGTTCTCATTCCTCCTGTTCTCAACCTCGAGAGACAGGTCACGGCGACATGCAGCCATGGGGTCGAATATCCTGATGTCAAAGAAGGCTCGCTGTACCCACGTCCAGAATCAATTATTTTCACATTCCATATCAGACATGTTGGCAATAGTGAGATACTGTAGTAATGGCTGGCAATGGGGAGGCAGGTGAGGGGGGGGGGGTAGGTAATGAGGGGTAACTAGAGTGACCGACTTGCACACTCGACCAGCTCACATTACATGACCCCTGACCCTGTATGGCACTGTCGACATTAACTCCTCTTAATGTGAGGTAGTCGTAGGCTCTACAACAATTATCAACAACTTCCATTACTACTACTAATAATAATAATAATAATCCCACAATTATATCATCATCATCATCGTCATCATCATCATCATCATCATCATCATCATCATCATCATCATCATGGTTTATATAGCTCACCTACCTGGGACGAGATAGTGTGTTGTGTCTATTTAGGGACGCGTATCTCTCTCTCTCTCTCTCTCTCTCTCTCTCTCTCTCTCTCTCTCTCTCTCTCTCTCTCTCTCTGTATCTAATCTATCTAAAAGAAACTAAAGGTAATTTATTATTGTGTTAAATATAATTCGTTTAGTACATAGTAAATAATCATCTTCGTAATGTTTTGTGATTGGTAATGTTAACTTAATCTATATTTAAGTAAACATATCGAGACTAAACAGTAGTAAGGAGGAAAAGAAATAAACTATATTTAATTCATTTAGAAAAAATCCGAATTAGTTATAGTGGAAATATTGTCTTCATGTTGCATAGGCTATGGGCTACGTACTTATAATATTTTGATTGGCGGGGTACAGGTATATATAAAAACAGAAGAAATAGTTTTAGATATATAACTTCTTTTATTTCATTATGTATATATATATTTTTTTTAAGTGATTGGTATGTACAAAAAATTAAAAGGGAGAAACAGTTATCAGTGCGTGATGATGGTGGTGGTCTAGAAATGTGAAGAGGAACACTCTGGTGGCGCCACAGTCAACTCTCAGCTTACGTGGGCTGCTGACACTAGTACCACTGCTCCTCCTCCTACTACTACTGCTGTTGCTGCGACCCATCTACTTCCTTCTCATACACCAGCAGCAAGTATATAGAAACGTAAACACATCTCTTTTTTTTAATATAAATAATCACAATAGTTTATGTTCTTGTCTGAAATTATTTACAGTAGTTATCAAGATTAGGAATATACAGTCCCCTTCACTCGTGCGTTTACAGGGACTCGTCAGGTCTTGTGCAGTGTGGTAGCCCTGTGTTTGTTTACATTCGAACATAAGGAAACTCGCAATAGAAAACATAATATGGAATAAAATTAAAATAAAATTAAAATTAATATCTCAAAAAGTTGTGGAATGCTTATATGAGGAGCCCCTGTAAACGCACCAGTGAAGGGGACTGTGACGAGCCCCTGTAAACGCACCAGTGAAGGGGACTGTGACGAGCCCCTGTAAACGCACCAGTGAAGGGGACTGTGACGAGCCCCTGTAAACGCACCAGTGAAGGGGACTGTGACGAGCCCCGTAAACGCGCCAGTGAAGGGGACTGTGACGAGCCCTGCACGCACAGTGAAGGGACTGTGACGAGCCCCAAACGCACCAGTGAAGGACTGTGACGAGCCCCTGTAAACGCACCAGTGAAGGGGACTGTGACGAGCCCCTGTAAACGCACCAGTGAAGGGGACTGTGACGAGCCCCTGTAAACGCACCAGTGAAGGGGACTGTGACGAGCTCCTGTAAACGCACCAGTGAAGGGGACTGTTCACACGATTGTATTATAATATTTACTAAAACTGTCATAATCGGTGTCACTTAGTACAGTACTGGCTAAACCAACCTTAACTTAAATAAACCTAACCATACGCACTTTAACCCGACCATAACTAAACACACCTTAACTTAACCTCGACACATAACTTACCCATAACCTAACTTAACCAAATATAACTTAATTTAACGAAAACTATAACCAAATTAACTTAACTGTATCTTATATTGACGTGAGCTAAGATATAAAGATATCTGTGTTGTTATATTGAAGGAATGTAGTTACCTGTTCCAAGTCATTCTGCACAGCCAGCCTGCCTACCTGTGTACACGTGAAGGTACATTAATTAACTTAACCAAAGGTGTGAGGGCGCATTTACCTGGTTCATTTAGATAGTTCACCTGTACAGATATAATATTAATCTCTCTCTCTCTCTCTCTCACTCTCTCTCTCTCTCTCTCTCTCTCTTTCTCTCTACTACAGGTGTGCATCTCTCCATAACACAGGCGTTTCTTCTCCCTCGTACAGATGCGAGACCTCCTGATGTTAATGCTGGTGGGCGTGACGTTAGGGAGAGCCCCTCCCCTAAACGTCCTGAACCACTCCCCATTCTTCAGCCAGCTTCGATTCGAGGGCTCTGTCATGCAGGACCTCTGGGACCAGTGAGTGACCGGGTGTAACTCAGGGATTCTGTGAGTGACCAGGTGTAACTAAGAGACCCGTGAATGACCAGGTGTAACTCAGGGACCAGTGATTGACCAGGTGTAACTCGGGGACCAGTGAGTGACAGGGTGTAACTCAGGGACCAGTAAGTGACGAGACGTAACTTAAGACGACCAATGAGTGACCGAGTGTAAACTGACTTAGTGTTACACAAACAAGCTACTCAAAGCCCTCACTTGTTGATGTGTGAGGTGTCAAGCATGTTAAGTCACTCGGTAATTGAAATCCATATGAAACGAATGTGTATTTATTTATTTAATTTTTTTTTGCGGAATCATGTAGTGTATTTTTTGTGTATATTATTATTTATATTTATATTGTATTCATCTATGTGGTACAGCAGCAAACCACAATGTTGTTCTGGTTGGTGTCGCCATCTAGTGGTTAAAGACGAAAGTGTGATGGGGACTGCCAAGAATCACCACACTGGACCATCTTCGACTCATTCATTCGAGGGTTGGTGTTGAGGAACTAGAGTCAGTCAGCTCGTGGACAGTGTGGTTGCCGGCTGTGGGTCTCACCTCCTTCTCCTCCGTAGTGATGAGTACCTTGCTATTGGTCTTCTCTTACAGTGTTCCTGCTCCGTTAGGTTAAGTAATTGTAGGCTTATTTGTATTCTGTTGTGTCGACGGGTAAATTCTCGTACGGAACAAACCTTATCTTTAGTTGTCATTATTGTTTCTAAAGTACATAGTAAATAGGGTGAATTTATAGTAAAGCACCGGTTTTTCTCTCGCTGGTATTAATATATATTTCGTGGTGTTTGGACATTTTTAAAACCTTTTTCTTCTATGATATTTCGCCGGAAATTAAGGATAACCGAGATATTCATTTTCTAATATTATATTTGGTCAGTCACAAGTGTCGCCATTTATTGTTTACGTCTTGCGCATGTGCTGGCGGGGGTGGTGTGGGAGTTCCTTGTTGGCTATAGTGATAGGAGACTTATTATTTGGCAAGAGTTTTTTGTCTTAGCCAATGAACAGTGCGTGGGTGCGTCGGGAGCGGAGATTTGAATTTTCAGTACCAGATATGGTTGACCAGGTGGAAGAGCTGTGCCGACATTGTGATCGATATTATTTTACGTCAATTGCCGAGTTTCATCAGATTAAGGTGAAATGTGGGGGACATGAACAAAGGGGGGTCCAGGGGGCTCGTCCCTTCTGGTATGGTTGGTTGGTTTTTATTTTTTATTTATTTTTTTTCTACACAAAATGGTTAGGTTAAGTTAGGTTACATTTCTTTCTGTATAAGAAAGTTTTTTTCCTATAGGTTTTGATGAGTTTAGAACGAGTGAAGCAGGTGACAGCCGGTCTCCTCGCCAAAATCTGTAGATCACCCCACCCCACCCTACCCCACCCACCCTACCTACCCTACCCCACCCACCCTACCCTACCCTACCCCACCCCCACCCCACTCTACCCTGCCCCACCCACCCCACCCCACCCCACCCCTCTACCTGCCCCACCCCCACCCACCCACCCTACCTACCCTACCCCACCCTACCCCACCTACCCTACCCCTACCCCACCCCACCCCTACCCTACCCACACCCACCCTACCCCCCCCACCCCACCCACCCTACCCCCACCCACCCCACCCCACCCCACCCCACCCCTTGCCGCAACATTTAAGAGTTTAATCACCTCGTTAACTCTGACCTTTATCAAGCACAATTAGGGAACCTCAAACATTTTTTATCAGTGTTTTTTGCTCCGTAGTGACAAGGTAAATATATTCAGTCACTTACACTTAAAAGGGAAAGATTAGGAAGGTGGAAATTAATTAATCTAATGGGGGTTATATATTTTTGTTAATCGTCTTGTATGGTTAGGTTAGGTTAGGTATACTTAGCTTTATCATAATGGCACTTACCACTATGTTCTCACTTCATGTAAAAGATATATATTTATTCAACAAATTTTCACATTTATTTTATTTTTATTTACTATTGCTAATTATAAACCCTAACCTAAGCCAAGGACCCTGCTCGATATAAGCATCTGTTCGCTTTGTTGGCTATCCTGGGTCAAATTCCTACCTGTTTACCATTGTTTGTATACCTGCACAATCGAGGTATATTGCTAATTACACACCTGCCTGATCTACATAATACTGTACACCTGCTGAACCAATTGTCAGCGTCTTTGTTTATTACTGAATAAATATCACTAATGGTGTTGGGTTGAAGTTTATAGCAGCAATAATGATAATAATAACAATAACAATAATGATAATAATAATAAGAATAATAACAATAATAATAATAATAACAATAATAATAACAACAATAATAATAATAACACTAATAATAATAATAGCAATAATAATAATAATAACAATAATGATAATAACAATAATGATAATAATAACAATAATAATAACAATAATATAATAATAATAACAATAATAATAATAATAATAATAATAATAATAATAACAATAATAACAATAATAATAAAAACAATAATAATAATAAAAACATTAATAATAACTAAACAAAATAACCATCGCTGCATACATTAAAAAAAACACAATTATTTTCACAGGTACACCGTCAAAGGCACTGAACCTCCCATGCTTGAACACACACACTTGAATGGCGCCAACTTCACCACGACTCTCCAGGGTAAAACAATGAGGACAATGAACAACAGGATAATTTATGCCTTCCAGGGGATCAGATTTGGCGAAGCACCTATTGGAGAACTCCGATTTAAAGTAACAATTGATTTTAGTGATGTTTATTAACGTGTGTAGTTGTGGTAAGGTTGGGTTGGGTTAGGTTAGGTTAGGTTAGGTTAGGTTAGGTTAGGTTAGGTTAATTCGAATTATATTACTTTAGATTAGGTTAAATTAGACTCCATCACCACAATATTTCTCCTCACTTACTACGTTCATCACCATCATTCACCATCATCATTCGCTTTCATTATTATTGTTATTACAGAGAACTAACCCTGCTGGCGTGTACTGGGAAGAGGACGAGGTGCTTGAAGCTGACCATATCGGCGACATGTGCCCTCAGAAAGCCATGTTGGGTAAAGTAGCGGCCGGGAGCGAGGATTGTCTCTTTCTCAATGTCTACACACCTTATGTACGTTTAAAAAAAGTTCTGAATGCTTCTTTCTCAACGTCAGCACACTATGTATACGTTTAAAAGAAGCGCTAAATGTACACACACGCAGTATAAATGTACAGTACACACACACAGTATAAATGTACAGTACACACACAGTATAAATGTACAGTATACACACACACACACACACACACACACACACACACACACACACACACAGTATTTATGTCTTATAAACTACTCTACGCTTATCTTTAATTTCATTCCATTCGTCTTCCTCTCGGTGTTAAACTTCACTTCATATTCCGACAGCTGCCCGGAGACCTACCTGACGGAAAACTCCTGCCGGTCATGTTCTTTATCCACGGAGGAGCCTTCGTTAACGGCGACGCCTCCCTCTACCTGCCCACCAAGCTTCTCGACCGTGATGTGATTCTCGTGGTTATTCACTATCGTCTTGGCTCCCTGGGTGAGTACCATTGCCCCCGCCTCTCCCCCCTGCCCCCGCCTCTCCCCCTGCCCTCGCCTCTCCCCTGCCCCCGCCTCTCCCCCTTGCCCCCTGCACCTTTCTAACCAAAACATAAAGAAGACAAATAATGGCATTCATTTTGGTGAAAGTGAGAGAGAGTGAGATAAAAATGGCCAATCTCTTCTTTTTTATCCTACTTTCGTTTTTGTCTCTAATTATATTATTAGAATATTTCCACTAGAATATATAACTGTTTTTCTTAATATAGTTTTAGTAACATTAATGGAAATATAATTACCTGGGATTTATTTTTTTTGTAATTTGGTTATATTTATTTTTTTAATGGTTTTGATCATAATGAAAATACAGGTATATATGGTGTTCATATTTACCTTTTTTTATAATAGGTATTTATTATTCTTAATATTTCCAGGTTTCTTCAGTTTGGTCAATGATAAAGCTCCTGGAAACGCTGGTATATGGGACCAAATCCTGGCTATGGAGTGGGTACGTGAGTGTGGATACAGTCGAACAGTGAAATGTTTACAGTGATGATACAATGTTAGAGCAGTGAGAAGTTTACAGTGATATAATGAGTTAACCCACTTCTAGTACACGTCAGAATTAGTTAACCCACTCCTATTACGACAGAATTAGTTAACCCACTACTAACACACCTCAGGAGTTAATCTTTACCAATATCCCCAACAGGTTCGAGATAATATAGACGGTTTTGGTGGTGATAAAGACGGAGTGACTATATTTGGAGAAAGTGCGGGGTCAGCTTCTGTTAATTACCATCTGATCTTACCTGCGTCTCGTGGTGAGTATTATCTCTTGTTTTAATGATTTAGAGTAATTAATAACGTAATTACAACCTTTAAAAGTCCTTGTGTTACTGAAGTGTAATGGTAATATTGGCTGTTAACTTGGATGTGTGGCTTCAGAAAATGGCCTTAGTGTGTAATTTTTATTGTGTTTGGGGTTATCTCTAGGTGGGAGTGGGGGGCAGAGAGAGAGAGGAGGCGAGGGAAGGGTGGAGGGGGGGAAGCAAGGTTTTAGTTACGTGTGGATTAAGTGATGAATGAATAAATACATAGGAGAATATCGAAAAACAAATCCTTCTTCCTAACCTAACCCACCGTGTTTCATCCTAAACTGGATATCCTTCACCTTACATAACTCAACATTACAGGACTCTTCAGGGGAGTCATAGGAGAGAGTGGATCGGCTCTTGAACACTGGTCCCACGATTCTGACCCTATAGGATCTGCCTTTGCTGTAGGACATAACGCAGGATGCCAAACTAACGACGCGGATGAACTGTATGAGTGTATGTTGAATATGACCGCTGACCACATGTCCCTCAGTATGGCAGCGTTTGTGGTAAGTTATGTGTTTGTTGACTAAGAGGGAAGGGACTTGACCTAGTGAGGGCCTCGGGGTTGTTAAAGGAACCTATAGCGATGACCTGGAGATAGCGATGACCTGGAGATGATTGTAGTTAAGAGAAATACGATGCAACATATCCACAGGTGATGGGAATAAGGACGACAGGTGTTTTTAGAGGATTACTAAACAATATAACAGGTGAATGTTTTGATCACCAGGCTAAGGATCGAAGCCAAGGTGGGATGGGGTTCAAGGGCGCGGCGCCGGTGACCCAGGGGAGTAATGTGAGTGACAGGCTGCTGGAACACGACCCATTACAGTATTTCCTAGACGGGAATGTCACAGATGTACCTCTTATGATCGGCGCCAACAAACATGAGGGGTCCTTCGTCTTAGGCAGTGAGTCCTATACTACAAGTTCCTTTTTCCCTCCTTCATACAACAGGGCGTCTCAAAATTATTAGATAAGTAAACCCTCTCAATACCGGACATTTCAATAAAGTAATACAATAAACCCTGTCAATAGCGGAATTATCAAACTTGGTACACTAAACCCTCTCAATACAGGACCTCCCAATAGCGGATATTCTCAATAACGGAATCCTCCAAATAATGGACGGGGATTGCAAAAAAAAATAATCTGGTAATAGGATGGTTAACTATAAACTCAATGCTTTACAAACTTTCGTAAAGATATTTTGTATGTTTGTATTATACCAGCAACATTGTCCTCACTCGTTGATGTGAGGACAATGTTGTTATAACACGTAACATTCACTTGTTCTTCACGACAAACTTACTAGGCTGTGTACATATATTTTTCAAAGACTTCCTGTACTACAAAAATTCAATCGTATGGATGTAGGTTATGTAGTAATATCAGGTTTAGTAGTAATGGTAGTAGTAGTAGTATCATTTAACCACTATTACTATCATTACATTTATCATCACTACTACTACTACTATCCTTATCATTCGTTATTTGAGTTTCCATTTAATGTTTGTTTATCCACTTCAGTTATGTATGCAGAGTTCCTGGAGCCGAACAACCTGACTGACGACAAGCATTACATGAGGACCAGGATGATTGATGATTTATTAGCTGCCTTTGGTAAGCTGTGGGGAGTGTCTGGCTTTGTGGGGGTGTCTGTGGGAGAGTGTCTGGTGTCTGTGGGAGAGTGTCTGGGGTTTGTGGGGGTGTCTGTGGGAGTGTGTCTGGTGTTTGTGGGGGTGTCTGTGGGAGAGTGTCTGGTGTCTGTGGGAGAAGTGTCACAGGTGTTTGTGGGGGTGTCTGTGGGAGAGTGTCTGGTGTTGTGGGGTGTCTGTGGGGAGGAGGGAGTGTCTGGTGTTTGTGGGGGTGTCTGTGGGAGAGTGTCTGGTGTCTGTGGGAGTGTGTCTGGTGTTTGTAGAGTGTCTGTGGGGAGTGTCTGGCTTTGTGGGGGTGTCTGTGGGAGAGTGTCTGGTGTCTGTGGGAGAGTGTCTGGGGTTTGTGGGGGTGTCTGTGGGAGAGTGTCTGGTGTCTGTGGGGGTGTCTGTGTGGGAGGTGTGGTGTCTGTGGGAGAGTGTCTGGTGTCTGTGGGAGAGTGTCTGGGGTTTGTGGGGGTGTCTGTGGGAGAGTGTCTGTGGGAGAGAGTCTGGTGTTTGTGGGGGTGTCTGTGGGAGAGTGTCTGTGAGTTGTCTGTGGGTAAGTGTGTGGATTTTGTGGGTGTCTGTAGAGGTTTGTCAGGCTCAAATCTCGCACCTTTTACTTCAGTTCGTAGAAGATTGAGGTAAAAGTCAGTCTTTATGGAACAGACCAAAACCTGACTCCATCAAGTATCAGGTTGGAAGTTATGACTCGGTGATAAACGATTTATTAAACTTGATATTATAAACCAATAAGTTGTTTTTTCTTTTTAATACAACTACAGTAAGTAATTCCCTGTTAAGGATCTCCTGGGGATTAGCCCTCGTACTTTATTTCTCCTGAAGATTAATAACTCTTACTGCAAACGTCTTGGTTAAGGACGTTCAGGTGACGGGCAAGTCGATGGGAATGATTGAAACTCGCCTTTTGACGCATGCAATATTTATTGATGTGGTCAAAACCTGCAGAGAATAAAGCGTTCAATAGTATTACATGGTGATCTATCTGATACATAATTAGTTAGTCTCACACGATTTCATCTTAATTACAATTGATTATTAGGAATAGTGACATGACACAAAGTTCATAACTCAATTAATCTTAGTTACACTTCATTCCGCATTGTCTTGTTGTTTCAGATAAGGCAGAAACGAGTAGGCATAATTAGACCACAATATTTCAGTACTGAGGGGTATGTCATCACTTTGGCTGTACTTACAAGTGCGGGTCAATGCGAACCATTATGGTGTTCCAAGGGACAATAGTACCGTGTAAATTGTTCCAACACAAAACTCGGCCTGGATTGGGAGTCGGTGTTCACCACTGCTAGCAGAGGGATGATCCTCACAGCATCCCTCGAGAGGGCGATCTGCCTCATGGAGGCCAGGCGGCCACACCACCCTCTAAAGTCTAAACCATACACTCCGCAGAATCAGGGCATCTTGTTTGTGCAGGTCGCGTGGTGAGGGCGGCGCACGTGGTCGCAGGCTGAGAGATTTAATGTTTGTTCCTGTAAAACAACGCCAGCACTGTAGTTGAAGCCAGCGGCGATAACACTTAGGCTAACTTGACCTAACTTATGCTAGTGTATACTTTAACATGACTTAACCTAAGACTAGCTTAATATGGCATAACCTAACTTAACCTACTGTACCTTAACCTAACCTAATGTACCTTAACCTAACCTAATGTACCTTAACCTAACCTAATGTACCTTAACCTAACCTAATGTACCTTAACCTAACCTAATGTACCTTAACTTAACCTAATGTACCTTAACCTAACCTAATGTACCTTAACCTAACCTAATGTACCTTAACCTAACCTAATGTACCTTAACCTAACCTAATGTACCTTAACCTAACCTAATGTACCTTAACCTAACCTAATGTACCTTAACTTAACCTAATGTACCTTAACTTAACCTAATGTACCTTAACTTAACCTAATGTACCTTAACCTAACCTAATGTACCTTAACCTAACCTAATGTACCTTAACCTAACCTAATGTACCTTAACCTAACCTAATGTACCTTAACCTAACCTAATGTACCTTAACCTAACCTAATGTACCTTAACTTAACCTAACTCAATCTACAGTAACTTAACATAGCCTAATCTAATCAAACCAAAATTAGACATAACTTAACCTAACCCTCCCCATAGGTAGCATTAGGGTGTTTAATTAATCCTCAGGTGAAATAAGATATGAGTGTACCTAATCTTCACGTGATGACCCTTACCTGTGTGTGTATATTCCACAGGTGTGATGGATAAGACTGGAGGCCTCTCGGAGTCATTAGCTGATGCTTATGTAGGCGACAGAGATCTGGGAGATTTTCCATACGCCGCCCCAGGCCTAATAGATGTGAGTAAAGGAGAACGACTAAATCAAGGAGAATTTTGAAATGCAATACGTTTTTTTTTTTACGTTTGTATTTTTCATATTTTGTTATAAATTTTCTTGATATTATTATTTCCTCCTATGTGGTATATATAATAAATCACTGTACTGTATATATTAAATAAATTCGTTAACATATTCATAACGTTCTTTACTCTGTGTGTGTGTTGGTGACCGTGACAGATGGCAGGTGTGCTATTCCTCAAAGCTGGAGCATGGATGACAGCCAAGTACCACGCCCAGACCACCGCCTCCAACACTTATTTCTATTCTTTTGAATTTGAGTCTGATGATACAATGTTCCGCTGGCTTTTCATGGGTCATAGTGAGATGCCCTTCAGACCAGGTTAGTTTAATCGTCTAGTACTGTAATAATGTTTGCTCTATGGTGGGATACATACGCTATATACATGCATACAGGTATATACACTACATACAGGTATATACACTACATACAGTACTGTACATACAAGAAACTTACAAAGTATATCCTAAATTTATTCTCTGTTAAAGAAAATTAAAGAAAACAATTATTTTTTGAGGAGTAACTTGTGTATATCAAAAGTATAGTAACTTTCTTATAAGTTTTTGGATGCGGCGAGTCACAGGAGTGTTTAATTTACAATCTTTACAGGTGTATACAGTAAATTTAGCCTATCAATATTAAAAACACAAAAAACATTACCCAGTAGTAGTGGCATTTGTAATGTTAGATGTATTTAACTCGGGAAAGTCCTAAATGAGTAAGAAATTAATCCTAGTTCATCTTTCATGAAGCAGTAAGTACAGATGAGACGGAGATAAAATTATACACGATAAATCAAATACAAATATACTTTTAAAAGGAAAAAAATATCCTCGTAGTATTAATATCCACAAAGGAGAAATTATCATTATTATATTAAACAGAAACACGACTTTGTACCTAAGTAAACATACATACATTTACACAAGGGGAATAAGCACCCGTTCTTAATGTTACAGAAAACAATAAAAAAAAAACTAATTCATCTCACTCCGAGAATGATTGTCCATCGATCTTTTTACTTTTACTTTTATCCTCTTCGCCACTGATCGGCTTGTTAGCCGCTTGGGCGATCGGTCACGTCTCTTTTCATTTATATTCTTCACCAAAAGATCGGCTCGCTAGCCGCCCGGGCGATCGGTCACGTCTCTGTCACGCACTGTTGGCAAATACTGGGCATGCACCGGCTCCTGAATGTACCTGAACCCGCTCCAGTGTTGGTCAAGTCTTCTCTTGAAAGAGCTCACACTCGGTGCCGTCACAACACTCTCTGGTAGATTGTTCCAAGAGTTTACAACCCTCATTCCGAAAAAGTTTGCCCTCACGGTTTTCTGGACTTGCGGCTTCTTCAATCTTGAGCTGTGACCCCTTGTGGAGCGAGCGTCCGCCAGCTCCAAGTAAGGACACTCAACTGAGTAGTGCCCCCTGAGATGCTTATACACCTCAACTAGGTCCCCCCTTGCCCGTCTGTAGTATAAGCTAGGCAAGTTCAGGCGCTCCAATCTCTCAGGGTAGCTGAGGTGCCGAAGTGCAGGCACCAGTTTGGTGGCCCTCCTTTGAACATTTTCAACCAACTGACAGTCCCTAGCATATCTCGGGGACCAGATGGGGTGACAGTACTCCAGATGGGGAAGCACTTCACTCCTGAAGATCGTCACGAGGACGGACCGTCTAGATATCTGAACGACCTTCTTATAAGACCCAATAATTTATTTGCCTGATTTACCTTCTTCTCACAATGGCCCGAGAACTTCAGCTCATTGTCAACATACACACCTAGGTCCTTCTCACACACAGTCTCAACTAGTGCATTTTCTTCATCCCGTTGGGACATGATACGCCTCCTTACCGTTGGTACACCCCAGGTGCATCCTCTTACACTTCGTGACATTGAATCTAAGCAGCCATTTCTTCGACCATTCCTGGAGCCCACAGAGGTCCTTCTGCAGCTCTTCACAGTCCGCTTGGTTCTTAATTTCCCGAAATAACTTGCCATCATCGGCAAACATTTGTATGGAGGAGTGTACAACGTCAGGCATGTTATTTATGAAACAAACAAACAACAGCGGGCCCAATACACTACCCTGCGGTACCCCACTTGTTACAGGTACAGATGACGATTTCGTGCCATTAATCACCACACACTGCTTGCGGTCATGTAGAAAGTCTTCTATCCACGCTAGGACATTTCCCCGAATTCCGTACCCTTCCAGTTTGATTTTCAGCCTTTCGTGGGGTACACTGTCGAAAGCCTTGGCAAAATCTAGGTAAATATTGTCGATATTACCACCCCGTTCTAGAATATGGGTCCAAATATCCAATACCTTGAGCAATTGTGTTAAGCAAGAGCGCCCCGGCATAAAACCGTGTTGGCAATCTTTTACAAGGTTGTTTCGTAGTAGATGTTCCATCGCGGCATCTCTGATAATACTCTCAAGTACTTTACATATTATGCTGGTCAGGCTCACCGGTCTATAGTTGTTCGTGGAGTGACTATCGCCCTTCTTGAAGATAGGACTCACATAAGCCACTTTCCATTCACTGGGGACCATTTGTTCATCCAGGCATTTACAAAACAGAATCTTCAGGGGCTCTGCAAGCTCGTTGCACAGCTCTCTTAGCACTCTAGGATGCACCATGTCAGGTCCGGGACTCTTATGGACCTTTAGCCTGGACAGTTTATTTCTAATACCCTCTTCTGTGAACACAATGTGGGTCAGTGCTGTGTCGAACCGTCTGTCCTCAAACGCAGGAAGGTTAGTTGCATCCTCTCTTGTGAACACTGAGGAAAAGAAGCTGTTCAATGCCTCAGCTTTATCCTGGTCAGAATCTGCGTAACTACCATCCTCAAGCCTCAGGTCTGATACTCCTACTCGCGTTTTCAATTTCGACTTTGCATAGCGGTAAAACGCCTTTGGGTTTGACTTGACCTCGCGTGCAACCAGCCTTTGGAACTCCTTTTCAGCCCTCCTACACTCTATCTTTGCTTGGTTTCTGGCTCTTGCATACATCCTCCTGTCTTGCTCATCGTTTGACCCAACCCACGTCTTGAATTTCTGGGTTTTCTTCTTAATTTTGTCGACCGCCGCATGGTTCATGTGTAGGGATCCCCTCGTATTCCTAGAAGCACTGGGTTTGGTCTTGGGTATATATTTATCGATCAAATGGGTCATTTTACTAGTTATACCCCCAACTTAACTTCGAGGAAATGAAACTCGACAATTTATACAGTATGCGTGAGAGAACAGTCATTATGTAGCTTAAGTCTATATATTGTCGTTTAGTCAATTTACTACTGAATGGATCAGCTTTAAAACTCTTATCAATTCAGATGAAACAAGAGGAATCACTGCCTCCCTTGCTATTTCACCTGAAGATCTACCACCCTTACTCTAACCTAACCAGTGTCTTCCAGGTAGCGTTGGGGTGGTTATTCTTCAGGTAAAATAAGCTATGGGGAGTAATCTTCGGGTAAAATAAGCTGTGGGGGTGAAATCTTCAGATGATTCAACACAATGCGGTAGATTGGGTATAGAATTAATCCTGTACATCAAACTTAAGGAACTTAAGTTGGTTGCTACTGTCTTCTCCACTAGGGGTGACTCACTCAGACGACCTCATGTACCTGTTCCCGCTCCCGGCAGAGTTAGAAGATCAGCAGCTCGTTGTTAAAGATCGTATGGTGAGAATGTGGACCAATTTCGCTATCTACGGGTAGGTCATAAGGCGATTTTGACATTGTGATGTATTAATGTACGTATATATATAGTGTTTATGTGTATTTATTTATGTATATATAGTTGAATGTGTTTTCCCGTGTACTGCTTAACATAGCTACCGTAATACACTTATGTATATATGTAATGTGTCCTCGCCATCCCAGGGACCCTACGCCTGAAGCAGATAAGAAGAGTTGGGAGGAGCTAGACATTGTTAAGTGGCAGTCGCTGACGAAGGACACCCATTACTTCATGTTGGTGCAGGATGAGTGTAGCCTTCAAGTCGAGTATCCAGACAGGTGAGGGCTGGCTGGCTCTCTCTCTCTCTCTCTCTCTCTTTCTTTCTTTCTTTCTTTCATTCGAGTATTATTGTGTTTTAAGTCTTCCCTTTATTTTTCTTTCTTATTTCCTCGCTTTCTTTATTTATTTATTTTAACTATTTAATGAAGTAAAAAATAGACCTGACATCCATTGATATATCACGTCTAAATCACATCTATATTCTTTGTCTATTTTTTTATATAAGGTGATTTGCTTCCAGGTGGCATATCGCTTTTGAGGAATCTGATAACACCACCACCAACAGCGGCCCGACGTGGGAAGAGTACAATAACCTACAACGCAAGAGTCAAGACTTTATGATCTCAATGATTGTGTTTATCGTGGCAGCCGTAGTTCTAGGGGCCTTCGCAGTCTACGTTTTCTATAAGCAACGATAAACAATGTTTGATTGTTTTTCCTTGCATTCTTATCATAGGTAAAAAGGTAATCACTTCACCAAGAGGCAAAAAGCTATCAAAAGAAGTCTTATTTTTCGTATTCAATAACCGTAAATGATTATATAAGACTTGTAATATGATCAGACTTTATTTCTACTGATTATTACTTTATCTGTTTATTCTGTAAACTAAAATAATATAATTACTTGGGTTTCTCCAGAAAAATGGGATGTTGTAGAAGACTGACATTATCAACCGTACGAATATATAGATAGATCAAGCTACGATAAGCAAAGATAATTTTTATAGTTTGTTAAAAGTAAATAGGAGTATACTTAAGCAATTATAACATAGACACGGATAGATAGGGGTTGAAAATGTTTGTGTCGTAAGTTGTACTAGAGTATGGTTATTCGTATTTATTACAAGGAACAGATAGGGGTCAAAATTTATTTATTCCAAAAGGGTGTAACTTGACGCTAGGAATTATATCTATGGGTGTAATAAAAGCCTTGAATAAAGTTTGTTGAATCTTTTGATGAATCTCTGAAAACATAAGAGGTGGTAAAGAGTTGAGTTTTTCTTCTATAGAGTGGATAGTGTTTTTAAAGGGTCCTGGTGGCCGATGGTTGTACAACCCGCTCCCTATATGATAAAAAACTTACAACTTACATTAACACGAAAAAAAAGCTAATTGAGTGTATAAGTGTGAGTGGTCAAGGCCGTCTCTAATAAAGTAGAAATATTAAGTTAATTGTCTATATATAAAGGTAATATTGACAATGCTAAGGAACTCCTGAATAAAACCAAAGGTGATGTTTTACTTGTGGGGGCTAATGGTTGAGAGGTAAAATAGGTTATATTATGGTCAGAAAATTGTTATTCAATGCCGTTTCACTGCTTTGGGCCAGACTAATCCTAGAATGTAGACTCGTTAACTCAAAACCGTAAACACACACCACGCACATTAACTGGCACTAATTACACAGTAACGACCCTCGCTAACTTCACACACAAAACATAACTCGAGATAAGAGGATTTTCCGGCGGCAGAAGTACACTTAAGCCCCATCCACACGATCGAGCAGTGCCCGTTTACCGGGCAAAGCCTGTGTTGTTGTTGTACACACGGGGGTGGTTGGCGGCAGTCATAGTCTGGCGCCGGTAGCTAGTAGGTGGCCAGGTGCGGTACGATCACCATGGTGTGTGGCAGGAATAATCGCCGGACAGTTAAAGCGAAGAGCATAGCGTTGTGTACTATAATAATTGCTGCTATGTACAAAAAAGAACCAAATGCAGAAAAGGGAATGGTGCAAAGAGTGGTTAGGTTGAAGAAAAGTATTGGGAAGTCATGCCACGATTTTACGTGAACTGCAAGATGGACATGAGCAAGACTTCACCAATTACAAGAGGTTGGACCCCAACACCTTTTACAGACTTCTAGCGAAAGTGGAACCATATATAAAAAAAAAAAAAGGATACCAATATGAGGGAGAGTATATCTGCAGAGGCTCGTCTAGAGGCAACGCTCATATATATTTCAACTGGGTGCACCTACACGTCACTTCAGCATAGAACGAGGATATCAAGAAGTTTGTCTGGCATAATACCTGCAACTTGTCAAGCCATGTATGAAGTACTCAAGGAAGATTACTTGCAGGTGAGATTTGTAGTACATAAAAATTCACTGAATAATGTTAGAATTATGATATGCATAGACAGGAAGCTATGGGACTAGAGTGAGGAGAGCGGCAGGAACGAAGAACACACACGAATGTCCTCATTACATAATACATAAACAATCTCCCGTTTATTGTCACGCCAATAATGTACATTGCATAAGCTTATTTGGTTATACACTGGACATCTGGACCGAGCTGGGAACATATAAGTATCACATTTGCAGTACTTAACTCAGATTTTACAAGGTGCTAGCATACGTTCTGTCAGTATCTCTGTTCATACCTCACCGACTTGAGGACCCGACCCCCGAGGTCAGCGGTGGCGTAGTGATCAGCTGTTTTTGACAGTCACGTGAGGTTCCAATAATAACACGAGTCTTGTATTGTAGGCTTGTGTAATGTTGAATATTAATGACAATATTATAGGAATGTCGGTTTTATCGTTTGTCTGGTAGAGTCGTCACTCCATATCCGGCAGCAAACCACCAGGCAGGCGGCCCATGATTTCGCTCAACGACGGGCATGGGCAAGCCGCTGGTTTGCCCGCCAATTTTGCCCGATGGGCATTTAGCGCGTACCCGCAGGGCACGGATCGATCGTGTGGACGGGCCCTTATGCGATACAACAGTACACATCTGTATTCTACGAGGTGTCTCGAAAAAATGTAAACGCACTAACGGACAGATTTCTGTAGAAGCCGTGTTAATGTTCGTATTACAACAGCAACATTGTTCTCACTGGTTGATGTACGAGGTCCTTTCGTAAATGAGGACAATGGTGCTGGTATAATCTAAACATTGATACGGCTTCCAAGGAAATCTGTCTGTTAGTGCGTTTACATTTTTCTCTGGGACATTAACTAGTGAACAAGGAAGGAAACGGGAAGGGTATAACATAAAAGGAAGAACAGAGGTTTAAGTTGATGTAGAGGGAATCCTAACTGTTACCGCCACAGTAAGATAAACTAGAAGGGAGGGAGACAGGAGAGAGGGGGTGTTGACAACGAATTTTGCTGAGGTGTTAAATGTGAAACAGATGCCCTCGCCTCGGGCTAACTAGCTCGACTAGTCTCTAGCCATCCAGTGAGCTATCAAGTCAGGGTGCTAACAAGTCCTACATTAAACCCGAAACAAGCAAGTTTTTATATGGTTTAACACCCAACTCTACTCAAATATATTATATGTAGTCGTTAATAGTGAAGAAACGTACGAGTGAATTAATTATCGCGTACGTAACACATGTAATTTGTACTCTGCAGATTCTGACCGAATAAAGAACAATCGATTCCTCCGTGCAAGGGTCTCGTTATCCCACAGTCGCTCATTGGGCGGTTACACTAACGAATAAGTCAGCTGTGAGTTAGGATATATGAGGATACATTTTATTAGATGAACTACTGTACCAAATATAAAGATTAGTAATACATTTCCTGTTACGTTAGAGATAGTGAGCACCAAGAAGTTGTATGTGATAAGAGTCTCCATTGTTCTTCTCATCTGTTGTTCAATAGTGTGTGTAAACTAGTTAGGGGGGAGGGAGTTCTGTACATTCTAACTCTCGTGTACGTAATCTCGATATACTCTTAAGGAGGGAGAAAGTGAATGTATTTTTTAAACACGGCTTAATGACCCGACGGACAGACAGGTACAAATTGATATACCTTCTGTAAAACCCATAAATATAGTCGTGAAACTCAATTAAAGTGGAACTATATAAACTAATTTAAACCCCAATATACGTGTGTGTCTTGGTCAACTTCGAAGCTCCTATTATATAAAACTCCTCTCCCCATGCGTATTCAACTTCATCAACTATACTTAAAAAAAAATCGCACGAATTTATAACCAAAATCACAATTAGATGATGAACTAGAGCTACCATATACCCAAGTTTGTGGCGGCTTATAGGAAATTCAAGTTATTTTCGTCTTGTCCCCATCTACAGAGGCCTGATTTGGGGTGAGTAATCTGTTTTGTGTTTAATAATGAGGCAGGTGAGAATAATAAAGTAACTAACGTATCATTGATAAGAGAAGTATGAAACAGAGTTATCAGGGGGAGCGGGGCAGGGAGATAGTGATGCAGAGGACCCCAGGAAGTTCAGATATCAGTCGCCTCGGAGCTACCATTGGGAGAATACTCGCTGTTTTTTGTACTTGTGGAGAATTCTTCGTCTCCTAGTGAAATTATAGAGCTCTCGTCCTCGTCTAGTGAAGGTATAGAGGTCCTCGTCTTAATCTGACGGAAGGAAATTTTCACCATTAGTGGGACTTTTCGTTTTCATCGTTCAAGTGTTATTTAACCTAACCATTAAGTGGTGAAGGTAAGGGAGGACTTGAAATGGTTAATACTTATCATTCTTATCATGTGTTTATGAGTAAATGATTAGATTAAAAGATAAACAACGAAAAGAATAGCATAATGGGGGGAAGGGAAGGGAGGGAGGGTTATCTTGTTCTGTGGATTTTGTTCATTAGAAAAGATAGTGTATGATTTGTCGCGCACATTTGGTTAGATTAAATTAGTTTAGTTTATTTGTTATTCCTTATTTTGGTTTTGTTATTCTGTCCGGACACTCCAACTTACACACGCACACACACTTACGCACCAACCAAATAATAAAAGTGACTACCCTGATGTACACGTGTATCTTCCGTGTAGACATGAACGTACGAGGATGTGTGTACCTGGTGATGATAGTGAGCATCCTCTCCGTCATCTACTACTTGTGTGAACTAGATGGGTCCTCTACAACTACGACCAACCCTAAGCCTTGTGGGATAGCATGTAGCGGTGAGTGATGATATTACTTTGACTATTACTTCAACTTTTACGTCTACTACTAGACTGCTGCTACTACTATTGCTTCTATTACTACTACTATAGCTACTATTACTACTATTACACTCCTCTAGTGTTCACAACCTCTGGTAGGATGGGACCAAGTGCAGGATGTTTCTACGTCAGATTACCGGTGGTGATCTCCGAACAGAAGCAGCAGCCCAGAAGTTATGTTACAGCCTGGATGAGATGTCGATTGTCTTTCTCTCTCCTTCGGTCGGCTTTGCTCTGCCTCAGGGGAACGAGAGCATCGGCCCCAAAGCCGACAACAGTTGCAGATATTGACGATGAGGCTACAGTCACTGAATGCCGCATAAATCTGCGGCTCAACTAACTCAACACAGCTAGGATAGCTTCTTATGTATTAGGATATTTAATATTAAGGTAATAAAATGGCGGCGAAGGTGTGGCTATTGGGGGAGGCTGGAGGCCACGTTACTACGACTGTTATTACTTCTGCTACAACTAGACTACTGCTGCTGCTACTTTTTTTTATGGCCTCCAGCCTCCCCCAATAGCCACACCTTCGCCGCCATTTTATTACCTTAATATTAAATATCCTAATACATAAGAAGCTATCCTAGCTGTGACAGGATTGTAGTCAGCAGATTTTGAATTCTCTCTCCATATGCCCTTCTCTTGTCGTTCTCGTTCCTCCTGTGTGCAGCATCGAGAGCTAAGTTACGGTGACAGGCGGCCATGGGAACAAAAATCCTGATGTCTACTACTACTACTTTTAATAATAATTAATAGTACTACTTATAATAATAATAATATAGTAATGATATCAATAGTAATAATAATAATGACATCATTAATAAGAATAATGATGATTCTACACTCCCTCGCATCCTTTCCCTCAATTACCCTCACAACCCCTCACACTCCCCCACACTCCCCCTCACACTCCCTCACAACCCCTCACACTCCCCCACACTCCCCCACTCACCCTCACACTCCCCCTCAGTCTAGGTTTCTCTCCCTTCATCAATCCTCTGATAAGTTACGTCACTTGTACTCGTGTTCTAATCTCCCCTCCCCTTCACAGTGGACGAGTCGCCCCACTTCCTCATCCATACTCCGTCTTGTGTCATCCCGGACTTCGATCCATTAGACCCAAGCCTCTCTCAGTATAGACAAAAAAATGACTTGGAGGTAAGTCCATCTGAGTCTCTAAAAAAAATGTATACACTCGATCTTATATCTTTTTGTGGTTCTCGCGTGAATGACTGTTTGTCGCCACGAAAATTGTATGTTAGAGTGGATGCATTTTTCTGAGACAGTATTTGTGTTGATATATTTTTTTTTTTCGGTCAATTTTGTGGGAAAGATGGAAAACTATTGAGCGGTGGAGTGGTTAGGCATATTGGGGGGTAGATAACTGTATATGTTTTGGAGTTTAAATGGAGTTGCTGTAAATGTTATGCAGTAGAGATTAGTTTCTATAATACCCAGTGCTAGTGTACGTGTAACCAGATCTCGACTGTGATGTGAATGTGTGCGCGCGAGACTTTGTGTTGACAGAATTTGTTACACTAGATTGCGTGTTCAGCCAAGCGGCCGCTGACAGAGACTCGGGGACTCTTCCTGGTATTGCACAAGGAACACGCTGAGGACTACGGCGCCACCCAGGAGTCCCTCAACTGCTCCTACAGAGGCATCAGGAGGATTCAGCAGGATCCTGTAAAGTACAACCATAAAGCTGACAAGAATTCCCAGTGAGTATTACACACACCACATGCACACACCACTCACTCGTCATTTTATTATCAGAACCTGTATACAGTTATGCACCCTGACGTCAATAACTCCGGGATCACAGGTAAATGCGATTGTGAATTACGTAACTATTATCTCCACCTGGCTTATCTTACATCTTGATAAAACACCCTAACGTAACTTGGTGAGGTAGTAATAACTGTTGTCTTTTTATATATATATATTTATTCAGTAAAATCGTCAGACTAAGTTTACATTGATTCAACTTGTATATAAACAATGCAGGTATACAGTTCCTCATGTATAGAGACCACACAGGGATACAAACAAGGTAACCTCATAGCCTGGACATTTCAGGTGTTCAATATATCAATATATCGTCCATTGTCAAGATCAACAAAGATACAAAGAATGTTTTATTAGGCTTCAATTATTTGTTTTATTGTTTTTCTATAATTTTGATGTTAAAAGTCAATATTCATTTAAGGTTGAGGGCGAATATATTATTGGTAACAGAGGAATCGACACCAATTCACGAGGACGGAATCTACGTCACCTGCCAAGATACGGACAGTAAAGATACAACAGTCTACAAGAACGTTCATTATTTCCTACAACCAAAGAGGGTAAAAGAAAAAAGGGAGAAATTTATGGTACGGAAAATATTTTTTGGTATGTACAGTATATACAGCACAGTGTCGATGGTTCTTGATTCGGTTGATAATTAATTGTATTTGCTACAGTCACTTGTTTTTTTTCAGAGCCTTTGAAATTTAAAGAAAAAAATCAAATTTGTGTCAGTTAATATAGTTAATTAGTCATAGAGTAATGATTATGGTTTCTACTGTTATTTATAGAGATCCTTAATATATAATATATATTTCAAGAATAACTAGATGTAAAATGAAGTGTTGTTTGAGTAATGATTCTTATATGACCACGGCAAGACAAGCTGAGGGTCCTTGTGTTAATATTATATATATTGTAAAACAGAAGATAATTCCTAACTTAAAGTAGAAATGAAAGGAAAAGGAGTTAGAGAGGCCCATGTAAACATTGATGGACCTTCCCAACAAAGAAAATGTTTTAGAGGTTTATTTGTTTTTGTGGGTTTTTATGCGCTTTATTTTCCTTATTTTTCATTTTGTTTTGTTTTATTGCCTTTAACCTTTTTTTTTTTTTCTCGTTTTGTTTTACTCGAGTCCCCTCCATCACCCGCCTACCCTTACATACTCTCAAACTTCAGGAGGACCACGAACAACGACGGCCAGAATGATCATAATATCTGAGAGAGAGATCGCTCATAATGATAAACGAGGAAAATCTAATGGAAACTACTGCCAAGGGAACAAGTTAAGTATGAGAGTTATACACGACTATTCTCTCCTTGTAGCCGAAACTCTCAAGGACATCCCATACTTCGGCTTCTACTGGACAGCTTCCCTCACACATGACTATCTCAAAATGGCTAAAGTGGCCGACAAACCATCACTATCGTACCTCAAGCAAATGTACACAAGAGGCTACCTTGACCACACCATTCTCTTCTTCATTAGTGACCACGGGCAGCGGTGGGGTAACTTCCGATCAACCTACGCCGGGATGCTTGAGGAGAGGTTACCCTATGTCATGATAGTATTTCCTCCCTGGTTTAAGGAACAATACCCTGAGGTGTGGATCAACTTACGCACCAACACCCGGCGACTCGCCTCCACTTTTGACATCCACGTGACGCTAAGAGACATACTGACTCAGGCGTATACTGACCTGTCTCTTCCGTAAGTTGTAAATATAAACAAAGCAGTTATACTATAGAGTCTTTAATATAATACATAATATAACTTAACTTGAAGCCTTCATTTACTTTGTCTACCTTACCACACGGAATGTACTGTACAGTTACGGTCAAAAGTCCTGTCGCCTCTCCTGCTGCTTCACCAATCCCGAGGGTCAGTCTACTGCTTCAGGTTGTCTAGTCTGAATCTCAGGCTTCGTGGAACATCAAAAGAGACGACAGGACTTTTGACCGTGTGACTGTACATGACATCAGTTTAGGTAAGGATTTCGTTACAGCCAACCATTCTTAAAACAATCCTCCGCAAAAGTTACAAATGTCTCTTTTTAAGTAAATCTCTCCAGAGGCCTAAGATTATCCCTTCTACATTCGTAATACATCAACAGACCAACAGTCGCACTCCACGGGCAGAGTTTGTTCCGGGAGGTGCCACTGGGAAGGACGTGTAAGGACGCAGGTATCAGTGCCCACTACTGTACCTGCCAACACACCACTGAGGTAAAGGCTGACGACCCTCGCCTCATCGCCGTCACCAAGTTCGTGGTGAAACAACTCAACAAGGACCTTAGTGACTACCCCGCCTGTGTTAAACTAACCTTGGATAAAGTAAGCATTGACAGACTGTTTTCCTCTCTCTCTCTCTCCTTAATCATCCTCCCCTTCCTACCCTCTTCCAATTCCTCCTTCTTCCTCCTTCATTTCCTCAATCCTCTTCCTCCTCCTCTTCTTTTCCTCCTCCTCCTCCTTCCTTCATCTCCTTAATCCTTCCCCTCCTTCCTTTTCTTTCTTCTCCTTAATCCTCTTCCTCCTCCTCCTCTTCTGTTCCTCCTCCCCCTTCCCCTTTAACCGGCAATCTTCTTCGCCAGATCACAAGAGGTCGTGTAGGAACAGCCACTAACAGCACGACTCCCAAAAATTCCAATAGCGTTGTCATGACGTTCTCTGTGGTTTTCGTTACTACCCCAGGTGAGCTAATTACCTTTGACTTCGATACTACCCCAGGTGAACTAATTACCTGTGACTTCGTTACTACCCCAGGTGAGCTAATTACCTGTGACTTCGTTACTACCCCAGGTGAGCTAATTACCTTTGACTTCGATACTACCCCAGGTGAACTAATTACCTGTGACTTCGTTACTACCCCAGGTGAGCTAATTACCTTTGACTTCGTTATTAACCCCAGGTGAGCTAATTACATTTGACTTCGTTATTGAGATAATTATCTTTGACTTCGTTATTTAGATTTTATGATTATTTATATTTCGATTATTTAACTGTAATCTCTAGTAATATTAATAGTAGAGGTAGTACTACTTGTTGTGCTAGTAGTAGTAGTAGTAGTATAATAGTGTAATGATGGTTATTATTATTATTATTATTATTATTATTATTATTATTATTATTATTATTATTATTATTATTATCAATACATTATAACATAATTACCTGGACGTTCATAGTGCTACCTGTCACCTGCCATTATCACCTGTCATTGTCACCTGTTTCTTTTCCCCTGTCAGGCGGAGCGGAGTTTGAGAGCACCGTCAAATACCACCAAGAGAACTACCAGTTGGTTAGCGATGTGTCAAGGATCAACCCATATGGCAACCAGAGTCATTGTATCAACCACAGTGTCTTCAGGAAGTACTGTTATTGTAGAGATATGCTGTCAACCAAAGCTAACCTAACCTAACCACAACCTAACCTAACCACAACCTAACCTAACCTAACCTAACTGGTGAACGGTACTGTGGTGTTGAGTTTTGGAGTGACGTGTTAGAGTAGAGTGAGTTATAATGGATAGGGTACAGTAGGGTGTGGTACGGTAGGGTACAGTATGGTAGGGTAGGGTAGGGTACAGTATGGTAGGGTAGGGTAGGGTACAGTGTAAGTAGGGTAAGATTAGGGTAGGGTGAGGGTACAGTATGGTGGGTGGGGTACAGTGGGGTGTGGGAGGTAGAGGGTACCAGTATGGTAGAGAATTTTGATGGGGTACAGTATGGCAGGGTAGGGGTAGAATTACAGTATGGTAGGAGTGGGGTGGGGGTACAGTATGAGTAGGGTGGGGTACAGTATGGTAGGGAGTAGAATTTTTGGTATGGTGAGAATTAAGGAATTTTTGATTGCAGTATGGTAGGGTAGGGTAGGGTAGGGTAGGGTACAGTATGGTAGGGTAGGGTACAGTAGGGTGTGGGAGGGTAGGGTAGGGTACAGTAGGGTATGGTAGGGTAGGGTACAGTAGGGTATGGTAGGGTAGGGTACAGTAGGGTATGGTAGGGTAGAGTACAGTAGTAAGTAGAATACAGTAGGGTAGGGTAGAATAGGGTAGGGTACAGTATGGTAGGGTAGGGTAGGTTTTGTCGGCTTTAGATTAGTTTAGCGTAATTTAGTTTAGGTTAGCTTAGGTCAAATTAGATTAGGCTAAATTAAAAAAGTATAGGTTAGGTTAAGTTCCTTTAGCTTAGGTTAGTAATTTATCAAAACTTTAGTTCCTTCCAGTTAATTTGGTTAGGTTATGATAGTTTAGTTTAATTTTTGGTCAGTGTAAGTTAGATTAGGTCAGGTTAGGTCAGGTTAGTTAATTGACTAGTAAACAACTCCTCACAACCTTAATTACAAGAATGATAAAATCCCTAAGAGTCTATTTATCAATCTAGTGAAGTCATTTGGCCGGTATATATATTTCACAACCCCCATACTAATCTTGTTGTCATAAATGTCCCAGGTGGATAACATTAGCTTGTTATCTTTTCATTATATTTTCAGAGTCAACAAGATTTACAGTAAAACCTTCATATAATGGACTTCGTATATAAGGTACTATCCTCTCTCATGGTCCGTTAGAAGGAGGTTTCGTATATAACTGACTGTTCTCTCTCATGGTCCGTTAGAAGGAGGTTTCGTATATAACTGACTGTTCTCTCTCATGGTCCGTTAGAAGGAGGTTTCGTATATAACTGACTGTTCTCTCTCATGGTCCGTTAGAAGGAGGTTTCGTATATAACGGACTGTTCTCTCTCATGGTCCGTTAGAAGGAGGTTTCGTATATAACTGACTGTTCTCTCTCATGGTCCGTTAGAAGGAGGTTTCGTATATAACGGACTATAATATAAATAACTAACCTTCGTATATTGTCCGTTATAGAGGTTTCACTGTATATATCATCTTATCTCCATCTTAAAATAAGAGAACAGATGGAAAGATAAACAGAACTAGAAAAAAAAGACAGATACAGACAGAAAAAACAAACAAAGATAGAGAGAGAAAGTGTGTGTGTGTGTGTGTGTGTGTGTGTGTATGTGTGTGTGTGTGTGTGTGTGTGTGTGTGTGTGTGTGTGTGTGTGTGCGTGTGTGTGTGTGTGTGTGTGCGTGTGTGTGCGCGTGTGTGTGTGTGTGTGTGTGTGTGTGTGTGTGTGTGTGTGCGTGTGTGTGTGTGTGTGCGTGTGTGTGCGTGTGTGTGTGTGTGTGTGTGTGTGTGTGTGTGTGTGTGTAATAATATGTATATGTAATAATAATAATAATTAACGGTTTATTGAAAGAGCTTGGCAGCCAGAAGGCTGAAAATATACAGTTACATAATTGGGGAATGGGTTTCGAATTACAAATAAATATACAAGTAACATAAGTGACACAAATAAGATATATAATAACTAGATGGGGAAAAGCTCAAACTACAGTTCATTTCAACATAGTGACAGTGTAAGGAGCAGTGTTTACTGGGAGTGAATACACTGGTTTATTACAAGTTATTGATAATTTTTACAATGGTTGGGACTGGGCTGTTCTTACAGCGATCAGTTCGTGCACGTATGGGCTGGTGTGTGTGTGTGTGTGTGTGTTGCAGCGTTGAGTGACTGCAACATTACATCTGGACTACTTTTTGTAGGTAAAGTTATGTGATAATGTACATTTATACAAAATTAATCTCTTTTATACTGTTAAAGTACTGAAATAATCATCTTTTGTATACTGTCGTGTTTCTTACGTGTTCAACTAATGTTATTCGCAAATAAATGATTGTTTAAATGAGTTCTTTTCCTTCGATCCACCGCTACACACCCTGACCACCACCACCACCACCCCACACCCTGACCACCACCACACCCCCTCACCACTACACATCCTGACCACCACCACTACACCCCCTCACCCTTTCACCCCCCCCTCACCCACACTTCACTCCCTCACCCCACCGCTCCCTCACCCTCACTCCCTCACCACTGCCCCTTCACCACTACAGCCCCTCTTTCTGGCCCCCTGCCCTACACCCCCTCCCCACACCCCTCATTACTACACCCCCTCCCCACCTACACTCCCCTCACCTCCTCCCTCCACTACCTCCCTCCACCCTGCACCCCTCACCCTACACCCCCTCACCACACACCCCCACACTACACCCCCCCTCACCCTACACCCCCCCTCACCACCACCCCCTCCCACCCTACACCCCCTCCACCCCACTACACCCCCTCCCCTACACCCCTACCCACTACACACCCCTCACCCCTACACCCCCTCACCCTACACCCCTCACCCTACACCCCCTCCCCTACACCCCCCTCCCACCCCTCACCCCTACACCCCCCTCTCCCACCACCCCCTCACCCCTCACACCCCTCTCCCCTACACACACCCTCCACCCCACCCCCCCCTCACCACTACACCCCCTCACCCACTACACCCCTTCTCCCTCCACACCCCCCCTCACCCCTCACCCTCATCACTACCCCCCTCCCACCCACACACCCCTCCTTCCACCCCCTCACCCCACCCTACACCCCCTCACCACTTCACCCCCTCACCACTACACCCCCTCACCCTCACACATGTAAATTCCTCAAGATAAAATCCCACTAAATTAACTCCCTAAAAACCCTTTCTGGAGCAAATGTATATAAACAATGCATATATACAATTTTGAATGTATATAGATAATGTATATAGACTACATGCTACATAGACACACACAGTTTATAATGATGAGATTTATATGAATGGTGTCATGGTTTTATTTGTATCCGTGGTAGTAGGAGTGGATTATATTATATAAAGATAGTATTATGTCGTATTTCTTATTTCTTACCGTAGAGTTCGATACCTTCACACTGATTACTTACAGGAGATTATGGCGTATCTACGTAGAAGTTCACTCCACCACTCGACATTCCATGATTTATACTTGATAAATGATGATTTAATGAATTCATTTAATTTTCAACATCCATCTAAGTTATTGGTTATACTATGTCATAACCAATCAGTCATTACCTTCAGTAATAATAAGATAGGATCACAGATACGGGCAGATAATTGCACTTACATTTATTTGTCAAGCTTCCATACAATGATTTACAATTTGCATGGATATATGATTCACTCACGTTCACGCTGTAATAAAATTAATCTTCTAAAACAGGGAATTTTCAACTTGGGGACACATGTGGTTACTCTACTATGGGTGTGACTTAACAGAGCCTTAATTCTTCAAGTGATACATTTACTGCCAGCCTGGATTGCTTTTGTTGCAACCAGGCTTCATCACAAGAACTTCTTCCCACGGCCATAACAACAAAAAGGTACTCTTGGGTTACCACACATAGTCTCGCGTCACTGACAGTCACTGTGGACGGTTGTCGCGGCAAGTAGAACTGGTAAGCGTGACTTGAATTAACCATTAGGTGCAATAGACCAGCCTGGATTGCTTTTGTCGCAACCAGGCATCCACACGTGATATTTCCACGGGGATAACAACCTAGGTTAACACACTTAGTCTCGTGTCGATCACGGTCACGGTAGACGGGTGTCGTGCAGGAGAACTCTGTAAGCGTGAATTAATTAACCATTTACTGTAGGTTTGATAGGCCAGCCTGGATTGCTCTTGTCGCAACCAGGCATCCACACGTGATATTTCCACGGGGATAACAACCTAGGTTAACACGCTTAGTCTCGTGTCGACGACGGTTCACAGGACGGAGTGGCGGTGGAGGACTCTGTGTGGTGTGGTGTCCCGCCCCCCTTCAGGAGGGAGAGGATGGAGACGACGTCTTAACTAACCCATGGCTCAGGGGATACTACTTAAAATGAGGTTTTTGGGTGTGAAGCGATGAACAGTACAACACTGTTTCACTGCCCACCCCCCTAAAGGCTGGCTGACATACACTAATTGAAAAATACATGTCCCAGTTATGCCTCGCCGGGCGTCTTATCTCTGGTAAAACAAACTTTGGAGTTGGTTGCGTGGGTAAGCCTAACGCAACCCATGACAAATGGTTAAAATTGTCACGTTATTTAAAATGGTAAATATTGTGACATGATCCTCAGTGTCACCATTAGATCCAAAGGTTTTATTCACATCATTATTACATAAAAAAACTATGATCAGGAAACTGACCGATAATGAAGTTTGTTATTTATGATACCTAGGAGCGCCTTGGCTCTTTAATGGCCGTTACGTAAGAAACATATGAAGATAAATGAGAAAGACTGAAATAAAAGAAGAAATACGGAATGAGAATAACAAAATAGAGGGAAAAGAAAGGTGAGAATTAATACAAACTGGATATATAAATACATTAAAGTTAAACTCATATATATTACATTGGTATCTTGTTAATATAAGACGGATTTAGTTAATACGTTCATAAAGACGTCAACATGGGTGTGATTTAGTTAAAATAAGTTGCTGAATCATGCTGACGGTCAATTTAAATATACATTCGTGCCAGTTACCTCTCCCAATTACCGACAATAGCAATAGTTATTAATTCTGAGGTGTTAACTAAATATATTTCTGATCATATAAACTTGAATTTCTTAGTTATCAAAAGACATTATTTATATGTTTATTAAAATACAGACGCTGTATGTACGTTCATAAACATTCTAGCGTGAAAAATCCCGAGGAGGCAACTTGTTCGGCCAGCCATATCATACCCGAGGGCACTTAGTTGCATAGTTGCTTTGTTAAGAGTCGATTTCCCACTGCCTAACTGAAGGTCTGGTGACGTCGAGGTAGCCGGGGTCTCCTCCATTGCTCGAGTGTGGTATTGCGATATTGTTTACAGAATTTATATTATTTATAAAGAAAGGGGCGGTATATAGCTGCCATCAAAGGATCACTTATTCTGAGTCTTAGAATAACTACGCAGGTTGAACAGAGTGCAGTGCAGCGACAGGCAAGGAAGGATAATGCTGACAGAGGCTGTGTTGGGGGTGGTGCTGCTGGTCCTGCTGCTCACCCTGGTCAACAGGAGGCCCAAAGGACTTCCTCCAGGTATGTCAGCCGAGTTGTTGTTGCTTTGTTATTTTTTTTATTTAACACAGCACCGAACACAGTTATATTTCCTTAGTATAATTGTTCAGGTATGGAAGGCTTGAGGATGAACATCACCTCTCACCAACTTTGTGAAAATTTTAGGATTTCAAAAATTCACGACAGCTGAAAACTAACATTTGTCACGAGGAAAATGCCAGACTTTGTGGACTTGAACTCTGGTGATCGAATATTATTTGATGTTTGTACCTGAAGACACAAACACAAAAAAAACAATTGTAAGCGCTTATGTATCTGGAGGAGAAGAGTGTATGTTTGTTTGTTGGTAACCGTGTGGGTAATATGTATATGTACACGTTTAGTTGTTTCTCTGGTATCACTGACCTGTGGTGTCCCTAGGTGAGTGGGGCTGGCCTGTGCTGGGCGCCTTGATGCCGTCAGGAGTGACTATAGAAGACCACCTCAAGACTCTCAGACGGAAGTATGGCGATATTTTCACGTAAGTCATCAATGTAAAGTATGACAACATTCACACCTTGATGTACACAGTAACATTCATACCTTGGTGCACACAGTAACATACCTTGGTGGTCATTGCCCGGACAGGTGGAGGATGGGCAGCCGCACAGTGGTATTCCTCAACAACTTCCAGCTCATCAAGACAGCGTTCAGCAACCCCGACCTGCAAGACCGCCCTGACTTCTACTCTCTTGATGTGTTCACTGATAAAGTGAAAGCTGGTAAGGTTAAGTTAGTTTTTTTTAGTTTTAGTTTTTTACGGGGATTAGCCCACCCGAGCACAGGTAACTGACCCACATCAGGACCTGGGGGGCGAAAATATAATAATAATAATAATAATAATAATAATTAACACAAATAGATAAAAATTATAACTAAAAAAAAAAAATAATAATAATAATAACCATAAATAAATACACAAACGAAAAAATAAATCAAGAGAGAAACAATATATGAATGTTGTGTTGCCAAAGTAAGAGAAACAATTGAGACCCTGCAATTGTGTGTAAATGAGGCAGAAAGTAAGATCATCAACCTGGGACTTAGTCACATATGGCAGCAGGGTCTACCATTAGACAACACATTATGCTTCCAATATCTTCCCAGGCGGTAGTACCTCCCTGTTTGGTAGTTACCAACTACTTTCGATTAGATTAGATTAATTTAGGGTACGTTAAGTTAGATTTTTAAGTTGTTAGGTCAGTATAGGTTAGGCTAAGTTAGGTTAAGTTCTTGATTACGTCAACATATTTCCTTCCCTACTAACTCGTCTTACCCCGGGCTGCTACAGGCATCTCCAACGCCAATGGCGTTCACTGGCACAACAGTCGTCGGTTCGCCTTGCGCCAGCTGAAGGAATTGGGGATGGGCAAGTCGAGCCTGATGGACGCCATCCAGTACGAGGTGACTTGTCTGGTGGACGACTTCATGAAGCACACGGGACGACCCCAGCCTATCCCTATGTCTCTCAATGTCGCCATCCTCAACGTCATCTGGAAGATTACTGCAGGTAGGAGTTAGCTCGTCCTCAGGTCAGTGTCCTCACCTGAATGTGGGAGGAATTTCAGCCCAATGTGTTTCATCAAGAACAATTTGCGTTTTGTTATGAAGATGAAAGTTTAACGTTTAGTCATCTTGGTGACGATTGGCACCCATCCACCTCGTGCCAGTAGGCTTGGTCTAGATATTTACAATAGATTAAAAAAAATGTGTTAACTGTATATTTGCTGTTTAAAGTTTTGTTAACATAATTTGAATTTAGTATTAGGTTTGGATCATATATTTTTGTTAAGGTGTTGTTGATATTAACACGTGTCAGTGTCTTGTTTTAAGGGAGTGCCGACTGTAGGAGGTGGTAGTTGTGGCAAAGTGTGGAAGTTTTAGTATTTACAGTTGATGAATTCATTGAAATGTAACTGAATGAAATATAGAAGCTTTGCTACATGTACATAGGAACATAAAAATGGAGGAAACTGCGGCGAGCCTATTGGCCCATACTGGGCAGTCCCATTTACACCCAGACCCTATTGCTCATATATCCATCCAACTTATGTTTGAAGCTATCCAGCGTATTCGAGTTAATGATGATGTTTGGTAATTTGTTCCACTCGTCCACTACTTTTTACACCTTTTAATACTTCTGCAGACTTGATACATAGTCGAAAAATTCTCACTAATACATGTGTTCAGTATGTGCAGGCCATTTATGTGTCCACGGATCAACCATTAATCTGATGTCGTCCCCCCATCTAGGCCTGCTGGACCTTCTTGTGTTACCGTGTTTGTTATTACATCACATTGGAAAAGTCTAAACTTTGCTCACAAAATCAATAACTTCACTTGATAACAACTTTAAGGACTATGATATTACCGTCTGTCTATTATTGTATAGAAAAATTATTGTTTATAAAAAAAATTATAAATGTGTGTAACTCGCTCCCCCCAAGAAAGGATCTTTACGTTTTATGTCAGACAATATGACATAATGGACGAAGGATTATGACAACACTATCGAGAAAACAGGAGTCAGTGTTCATTTTAAATTCAACTGACCTCTCCGTAAAGATACTTTTTTGAGCGAATACTTGTGTATATAATTCAGGTTCTTTCTGTGTTTATATACTGTATATCTCAGCTGCTCCGAGTCATATTGTATTAAAAGTAAATATGTTTTTTCAGACATACGGTACGACGTGGACGACCGCAAAGTCCACGAATTTAACGACTTGATTACCGAACTCTTCGAGAATTTCCAACGAGGTAGTGTGATATTTGACATGTATCCCTGGCTCCCGTCCATCTCCCCGCCCTTCCTCACGAAGTACCTTGGTGTGGACGCTTTGTTGGAATCCGTCGAGAAGCTCAGAGTTTATATATTGGTGAGTTGGAATCTGTGTTTATAACGCAAGAGAACACTACATAAGAACATAAGAAAGTGGGATACTGCAGGAGGCCGACTGGCCCATACAGGGCAGATCCCTTTCACACCCATCCCAGCACTTCCATGTGCCTATCCAACTTCGCCTTGAAGCTCCCTAGCGTCCCCGATCCTACTATAGCACTCGGTAGCCTATTCCACATATCCACAACTCTATTACCAAACCAGTGCTTGCCTATATCCTTTCTGAATCGGAATTTATCTAATTTAAAGCCATTTGTTCTAGTTATTTCGTTATTACTGAGCTTCAGAACATCTTCCATTTTACCCTTGTTAATCCCACTTACCCACTTGAACACCTCTATCATATCTCCCCTAACTCTACGCCTCTCTAATGAATGCAAGCCTAAGCTTTTCAGTCTTTCTTCATATGGAAGGTTTCTAATATTATGGATCATTTTGTCATTCTTCTTTGTACTCTCTCCAAAGAATCTATGTCCATTCTATAATAAGGACACCAGAATTGAACCGCATAATCCATGTGTGGCCTCACTAATGCTAGGTAAAGTTTCAAGATAACGTCAGCAGTTCTGTTACTCACACTCCTAGATATGAACCCAAGAATCCTGTTTGCCTTGTTGCCAACGCTAATACATTGTTTTCTAGGTTTCAAGTCGTTGCCAACAAATACAGCCAGATCTTTTTCACAATCTGAGTTTTCTATTTCCGTGTTACCTAGTTTATACTTAACGTTTGTATTCGTCTTCCCTATCTGTAGCACCTTGCATTTATCAGCATTAAAATTCATTTGCCAGCTAATGACCACCATGTAAGGTATCTAGATCTTTTAGTGTGTTCAAAGTCACTGTTCAATCTTATCACTCTCCCATTTTGTAATATCTGCAAATTATTGAATCAGCTAGTTATGGCCTTCTAAATCAAGATCATCATTAATGAATATAACAAACAGCAGAGGGCCCAATACAGATCCCTGGGGGAATTTGCTTGACCGCAATTCCCCAGTCTGACTTTAATCCATATTTATTATGCTGACTCTTTGTTTCCTACCAGTTAACCATGACCTAATCCATTTTCATACTGATCCACCTATTCCATGTGCTTCTACCTTCCTTATCAATCTCTCATGAGGGACTCTATCGAATGCTTTACTGAAATCTAAATAAATTATATTATATGACTTATCATTATCTACCGCTTCATATACTTCTGAGAAAAAGCTAAGCAAATTTGTGAGACAAGAACGTCCCTGGGTGAACCCTTGCTGAGAAGAATGAATTAAGTTGAATGTTTCAAGGTGGCTTCTGATTTTTGTAGCAATAATTGACTCTAGCAACTTGCCTATGATTGACGTGAGACTAATGGGACGGTAATTTGATGCTATTGATTTATCACCCTTTTTGAAAATCTGAACCACATTTGCAAGTTTCAAGCTTCTGCACTAGGCCCGATTCTAATGACTATTAAAATAAACTGCTAATGGATTACTCAACTCATCTCTACATTCTTTTAATATTCTAGCATATACCTCGTCTGGACCAGGCGATTTATGAGGCTTCAGTTTGTTAATTTCTTTAAGCACATCGTTACTAGTAACATTGATATTCATCAACATATTTTCTATACTGTCGTTATATACCTTATGAACTTCTGGAAACTGTGCTAGGTTTTCATTTGTGAATACGGAGCGAAAATGACTATTTAACGTACTACACATTTCTAACTCATCATCAGTCATTTTTCCTGTCGTAGTTTTAAGGGGACCTATTGTATCTCTAACCTTTGATTTATACAGTTGATAAAAAGCTTTGGGGTTATTTTTCGATTCGTTTGCTACCTTGATTTCATAATTTCTCTTTTTGCTTTCCTAATTTCATGGCTTTTACCTGTCTTGGTTAGGGTTCATGGGAACTAAGTAAGGATTTTCGCCTTTTCAATTCCTTTTCTATACCTTTCTTTTTCCCCTAGAAGATCTTAAGAGTCTATTATTCCATCCATTTTAAGGGTTCAAGATTGATCTTCGGAATTTTTCTTTTTAGGGATGTGTTTTATTTTGGGGTATTTATTGATTGCTCTAATAAATTGTCTATAAGTAGCTGCTAAATTAAATTCGGGGTTATCCCGTCCTAAGTTGACAGTTTCCGGAGGTGTGGGGGGGATTAATCTTTTGACCATAGGGTCATCCCTTAGGTCTCTCCTTATGCTACCGTAATTAGCCTTCCTAAAATCCGGGATCAAGGCCGAATTTTCCTTCTTCCTGCCATCCCATATTATGTTAAAATATATGGCTTTATGATCACTGTTTCCTAGTTCGTCTCCAATCCCAACATCTTTTACTAGATTTTCATTATTACTGAGAACTAAATCGAGGATATTATTTCCTCTAGTGGGCGAGTTTATGAATTGATATAAAAAACTATCTTGTACTACTTCTAGAAAATCTTCAGATTCATTATCGCTAAGTTGATTTTTCCAATCTATGCCTGAAAAGTTGAAATCGCCTAGAATACATACATTGTTTCTATCAGATGCCTTCTTTATTTCCTCCCATAGCAATTTACCATCGTTCCTACTCAAATTAGGTGGTCTATATATAACACCAATGACTACGGATTCACTGCCCTCACCAATCTCTACCCAAATACTTTCATTGTCGCTATTTGTTTTAATGTTTGATTTATTGCAGCTTTTTAATGACACCCTGATATACACTGCTACACCGCCACCTCTCCTTCTCACTCTGTCAAATTTAAACAGGTTATATCCTGGAATATGAAATTCTGCTAAAAAATGCTTGCTGTTTGAATTTATCCATGTTTCCGTTATTGCAATTATATCTATGTTCTCTTTACTAACAATGGCCCTGAGCTGGTCCATTTTGTTACACAGGCTTCTACTATTAGTATAATAAACACTCAATATGTTTCTTCCGTTTCTATCTGTTTTACATTAATTACTTTGATGTTTGTTATTATGACTAACTATATTTTCAGCATTATCTACTTCTGTTTCACTACTTCCCAGGACCTGCTTGTTTTTTGACTCCCATTTTCCCCGACCCCTCTCTACTGGCGAAACCCCCCCTTCGGAGTGACAATTTCACGCTCCAGGGATGCAGACAACGTCTTTACCCCCTCACGAGACAAGTGTACTCCGTCGCGACAGTACAGGTAGTCGTTGCCATAAAATCGTTGCCAGTCATCAATGAATGCCCAACCATTGTTTGCACAATGTTTTTCCAGTCGGCAATTAATAGCAATTGCCCTGGACAGCCATTCACGACCAACCCCTCTTCTAGGCAAGACACCACATACTATCGGGATCCCTCCCCTATCTCTAATCTTCCCCAGCGCCTCCCTATACCTCTTGAAAAGTTCCTCACTCCTAACCTTACCTATGTCGTTTCCTCCCACACTAAGACACACTACTGGATTGGTACCCTCCCCTGACAAAACTCTGTCTAACCTCTCGGCTACATGCCCTATCCCAGCCCCAGGAAAACATACCCTAGTCCTACGTTTCCTATCTCTCGCACAAAAAGCCCTATCCATAAACCTCACCTGGCTGTCACCAACTACCACGACCTTACCTGTGGGCAGGGTTTGTACAACTGCCCTTTCCTCTCCTTGATCCATACCGTCCTGCCTCTTCTCTTCCTCTCCAGCTTCCTGCAGCACCTGGTAAGGGTTACTGCACTCCACACCCTGGTCAGCTTTCCTAAGCCTGACCCTAGTCCCCTTGGAGACAACCACTCTCCACGCCTGCTCCTCCTTCGCAGGTGTCCTGCTAGGCAGGACACCTACCTGAAGGAGTTCCGTCCTGAGGGCTTCATTTTCCCCCTTTAGAGTGTCAACCTCACTCCTCAACTGCCCCAGCTGCCTTAACAGCGTGGCAAGGAGGTCGTCCTTCCCCACACTCCCCTCCTCTTCCCCCACGGCACAACGATCCAAAGCGGCCATTTTCCTTGGTCTCTAGCGGGAGCACGATCGCACGACCTTCTCCAAGCTGGGTCAGAGGTCAACTACTGTGGGTAAAGGGCGGAAGAACATAGTCTTTCTTATCATAAATGAACGCTCTCCTACAATACATTTGGCTATATCATCCTTAACTCCAGACCACTTCCATTATCATCCTTGTCTTCAGCAAGTGATGGGGGAACACGAGGCGTCTCTGAACCCCGACAAGCCGAGGGACTACATTGACATCTACCTGATAGAGATGAAGGCACAACAGGGCAACCCAGAGTCCACCATGAGCAGTAAGAGAGAGAGAGAGACTATGCCAGGACAGTATATTAGTGTTTATATCAAGTAACCATATATGTCTCATAAAACTTCAATCGTCTTCCTGCACCATAAAATTTTCTCTAATAAGTGATTGGATGAGGTGGTGTCTTGTGTTAGGTTAATAATAATAATAATTCAGTCAATTTGACCAAGAACAGCTGACAGTCTTGAGATGATTGTTTCCAGTAGAGTCCTCATGCCTCTGGTGGTCTTCGGGCCAGGCGGTCACCCATCCAAGTACTGACCAGACCCAACGTTGCCTTACTTCACTGATCGTACAAGAAGCGGTGTTTCCAACGTCTGTATTCCTATATATCATTACCATTATTCGGTCTACTCCCACAGAACTCGACCTGTGCGCCCAGGTGGCAGATCTGTTTACAGCGGGGAGTGAGACAACGAACCAGACGATGCGGTGGGGTCTATTGTTCCTGGCCAAGTACCCAGACGTCCAGGCCAGAGTGCAGCAACAGATTGATGACGTGGTGCCCAGAGGAACACTTCCCTCCCTAGAGGATAAACCTAAGTAAGTGTATTGTGTTTTTATAACTTAGAGTATTTATATAAGTTCTCACCCCCGCCCATAACAACTTTTATGACCAGTATTATTAGTAGTATTTTATGTATAATTATTATTATTATAATCATTATTATTAATGACGATGACATCATCACCTTCAGACTGACGCAGCTGGAGGCGGTCATCCACGAGATCAGCAGACTGGTGTCTTTGGTGCCTTTGGGATTATCACACGCAGCAGCGGCCGACACTCAACTTGCTGGCTTTACCATACCAAAGGTACACTGTCAGCTTTACAGGTGATTTTTCAAAGTGGTTTTCCCCAATTAATTTCTCAATAAGGTAATCTGTAACAGTGAAAGTTAATACGCCCTTCAGTGTTACATCCATCTAAGTTAATAAACTTACCAGCTGAGATCCTCCCATCTTTCGCCGTCCTCAACAACTGCCTCAGTTCATGGAAGTTGCTTGGTTGATGAGCTTATAGTAACTCACTCAACACCCAACATCGAGTCAACTTGCATTCGTTCAGTCAGTTGATGAGGACGCAAAAAGTTATTAGCACTCAGTTGATAGATGTAGTTGGGGGAAATTACTCCTTTTAGAGTTACACCTTAGAAACACAACCTACAAGTCCGCCTTCATGTCTGCCGATAAAGTTATTAAAGTTATTCAGCAGACTGTTTCCTTCAGAGGACCTTGATCATCCTCCACCACACCAACCATAAGAAACAACTCTTGATAAGTTATCCATAAGGCTGTGCGGATTAACAGTGCCCGGACTAAGAGCTGTAATATATGAGCGGATTCCTGACAGTGACATCTAAAAATCCCAGATTCATGCTGGAGCCTCAATGACGACACAGCTGATCACTCCAATATCTCCTGATCATTTCTCACAATGACCTGAACTAAAATCCCGTAAAAATAAAAATATCCCACTGACTTATGTAAGCAGAGTTGTTGTAAAAATTAGAGTTCACACATCAACATGGGTAAGAAGCAAGGAACTGGACTGTGTTCTTCAAATGCCATGCAATAGAGGGGGAAGGTTGGGGGAATAAGTCATGTAGACACAAATGATCAGCTTTTTAAAATTTTCTCTAACTTCCCGATAAAAAACTATGCAAGGTGACTTCCTCTAAACTTTTCCAGGACACTAAAGAATATAACAGGGCAAGTAAACTCCAAAAGCTACTTGCCACATAATATGCTCCTCTGTTATCCAGGAATGTTTCATTGTTATATTTCTCGTCCATAACAAGAGAAAGTAATAGCAGTGTTGTATCTGGTGTTCAGGGCACAGTGATCATCCCTAATCAGGAGATGTGCCACAAGGAGCCAACCTACTGGGAGAAGCCTGAAGAGTTCTACCCGGAGCATTTCCTCGACAGTGAAGGAAAACTGAAACCTAGGAAGAAGAATTATCTTCCATTTTCTATTGGTAAGAGGAAAAGTAGCCAAGGTGTTATGACTTATAGGCCAAAGATTAATTAATTCCTTAAAGTTCAAAATGATAACATTTTAAACATTTGTCGATATTTAAAACTTAAGATTGTTTACAATATATAAAACGCAATACAGTATAATTATTTTTCCTGAGTCGAATGAGTTTTTTTTATATATCACCTTTGTGTTATGTATGTCAAAATTTTATCTTTCTGCATGAGAACTGTTGTTTGAAGTTTGATTTTGTTTGTGTAGGTCGACGTGTTTGCCCAGGCGAGGCTCTAAGCCGGATGGAACTCTACCTCTTTCTGTCGGCGCTGCTGCAGAACTTTACTTTCTCTGAACCTGAAGGAGAGCCACTCGACCTAAAGAGAAATCCCAACGCTTTATTTTTCAACCTTCCGAAGCCCCAGAACATTGTGATCACCAAGAGGGCATAAAGTGGATGCTTAAAGAGAGGATACAAATGAAAGCCACTAAACAACTCTGGCAGACTTCAGATTCTTTCACCACCATCATCTTAGAGTTTGATCCCGTGTTTGATCCTAAGATGAGACGCCAAGAAAGGTGTCCGCAAAATTGTGACCATTGATCCTTTTGATCGTGTTGTATACATCAGGAAGTTATGAAAGATGCTTCATTCTTCAGCCTCGGAGACCTCAAAAAACATCAGCTCATCCAAACACGATCTAACCCTCTTGTTAAAATTATATAGGACAAATTTATTTTCCTTGTTTATCTTGTAAGTAACTGCAGTATACATATGTTATTGTTTAGTCTTTAGATTTATTCAGGATAATCAAATATATTTTAGAACCATAACGATAGTGGTAAGAATTATATGTAGTTTACTTGATCTAGGGGCTTCACTTGTCACACATTCTTTGGGAATTTATCCTCAAATATACTGATGTAAAGTGAGGTAGACTTAAGATGATCATCGGTGTCGCTTTTATCGGTAACGCCATTTTATGTTATTATTATTATTATTATTATTTTAATCTTTTAATATTTGATAAATATAACAAAGTATACATGTTGATATTACTCTCATTAAAGCACAAGTTATATTACGTCCCTGCTTAACACAACTACTCAAGGTGCTGGATGTTTGGAGAACAGGGTGGCAATATCGACAACATACAGTATATCTGGCTCTCGACAGCGTACCCCCGTGAAAGGCTGAGAATTTAATTGGAAGGGTACGGGATTCGGTGAAGTGCCCGAGTGTGGATCGGAGACTTTCTTTATGACCGCAAGTAGTGTGTGGTGATTAATGGTACGAAATCGCCATGTGTACCCATGACAAGCGGGGTACCACAGGGCAGTGTATTGGGCTCGCTGTTGTTTGTTTGTTTCACAAATGACCTGCCAGAAGTTATACACTCCTCCATACAATTGTTTGTGCACGATGCCAAGTTATTCAGGGAAATGAACCCTTTAGTGGGCTGGGGCTCATCAGTTAAGTAAAATCGTCTGGTGTTGGCCAGAATAAAATACCTAAGTGATAATTTGTCAAAGCGGTCTGTGAAGAGCTACAGAAAGATCTCTGTCAGCTTCAAGAGTGGTCGGACGAATGCCTACAATTGCTTCCCCGTCTGGAGTGCTGTCACCCCGTCTGGTCCTCGAGATATGCTAGGGACTGTCAGTTGATTGAAAATTTCCAAAGGAGGGCCACCAGACTGGTGCCTGCACCTCAGCTACTTTGAGAGATTAGAGAGCCTGAAATTGCCAGATTATACTACAGACGGGCAAAGGGGGACCCCAGTCTAGGACAGATGTGAGAAGGTTGTTCGCCAGTGTGACTCTTGGTCCAATTTTAGTTACTGGAGCATGAGTGTGACCCAACAAACGTCTCAAGTTTTATCTGGGTACTATGGTTCACGCCTGTACTATTTAACACTGGTCAATGAAGTCCAGAAAAAATTAACTAAGGCCAGGTGTTGAAATGATGAATTTTATTTTACGTTAATAATATCTTTCAATTTATAATTTGCTTTCGGTTACAGTAGTTAGTCCTATATATATATAACCATTTTCTTTGTTCATTTTGGTGGGGCGGAAGAAAGAAAATAGTTACATTGGGTAACTTAAACAATATTTCCAAGTGTATCAATTATATTTTATTATTGTTTCATTTTTATACATTCAATTAAAATAAATCATATAAAAATTAAATAATTGGTAATCTGAAATCGACTTCACTACTGACCACTAACTAAAGAATTTCAGCGCCACAGTGAAAAAAATACAGTACATTTTGACCAGCACCCCCCCCCCCTCCCCAACCAATCACTCTACCCAGTTGATTATATTTTTTACCTATAATCGATACCAAACAAATTGGGATTTATATTATATGGTTCATACCCTCATACAGGTTCATACCCTCATACAGGTTCATACCCTCATACAGGTTCATACCCCCATACAGGTTCATACCCTCATACAGGTTCATACCCCCATACAGGTTCATACCCTCATACAGGTTCATACCCTCATACAGGTTCATACCCCCATACAGGTTCATACCCTCATACAGGTTCATACTCTCATACAGGTTCATACTCTCTTACAGGTTCATACTCTCTTACAGGTTCATACTCTCTTACAGGTTCATACTCTCTTACAGGTTCATACCCCCATACAGGTTCATACTCTCATACAGGTTCATACCCCCATACAGGTTCATAATACCTCATACAGGTTCATGCCCCATACAGATCTATACTCTCTTACAGGTTCATACTTCTTACAGGTCTATACCCCTTTATACAGGTTCATGCCCCCATACAGGTTCATACTCTTACAGGTTCATACCTCATACAGGTTCATGCCCCATGCAGGTTCATACTCATACAGGTTCATATTCCCCCATACAGGCTCCATGCCTCATACAGGTTCATACCTCATACAGGTGTTCACATTCCCCCCTCATACAGGTTCATACCCTCTATGTACCATATTTCATACAGATTCATACTCTCCTACAGTTTCATACCCTCATACAGGTTCATACCCTCATACAGGTTCATACTCTCTTACAGGTTCATACTCTCATACAGGTTCATACCCTCATACAGGTTCATACTCTCTTACAGGTTCATACTCTCATACAGGTTCATACCCTCATACAGGTTCATACCCCCATACAGGTTCATACTCTCATACAGGTTCATGCCCCCATACAGATTCATACTCTCTTACAGGTTCATACTCTCATACAGGTTCATACCCTCATACAGGTTCATACCTCATACAGGTTCATACCCTCATACAGGTTCATACCCTCATACAGGTTCATACCCTCATACAGGTTCATACTCTCTTACAGGTTCATACCCTCATACAGGTTCATGCCCCCATACAGATTCATACTCTCTTACAGGTTCATACCCTCATACAGGTTCATACCCTCATACAGGTTCATACTCTCTTACAGGTTCATACCCTCATACAGGTTCATGCCCCCATACAGATTCATACTCTCTTACAGGTTCATACTCTCTTACAGGTTCATACCCTCATACAGGTTCATGCCCCCATACAGGTTCATACTCTCATACAGGTTCATACCCTCATACAGGTTCATACCCTCATACAGGTTCATACCCTCTTACAGGTTCATACCCTCATACAGGTTCATACCCTCATACAGGTTCATACTCTCATACAGATTCATACCCTCATACAGATTCATACTCTCATACAGGTTCATACCCTCATACAGGTTCATACCCTCATACAGGTTCATACCCTCATACAGATTCATACCCTCATACAGATTCATACTCTCATACAGGTTCATACCCTCATACAGGTTCATACTCTCATACAGATTCATACCCTCATACAGATTCATACTCTCATACAGGTTCATACCCTCATACAGGTTCATACCCTCATACAGGTTCATACCCTCTTACAGGTTCATACCCTCATACAGGTTCATACCCTCATACAGGTTCATACTCTCATACAGATTCATAATTCTCATACAGATTCATACTCTTGCTACAGGTTCATACCTCATACAGGTTCATAATTTCATACAGACTCATACTCTCATACAGATTCATAACACCTCATACAGATTCATACTTCATACAGGTTCATAAATTTCTGCTATACAGGTTCATACTCTCATACAGATTCATACCTCATACAGATCTTCATACTTTCATACAGGTTCATACCCTCATACAGGTTCATACCTCATACAGACTATACCCCTCATACAGGTTCATACTCCTCATACAGATTCATACCCCTCATACAGGTTCATACTCTCATACAGGTTCATACCCTCATACAGATTCATACTCTCATACAGGTTCATACCCTCATACAGGTTCATACCCTCATACAGATTCATACCCTCATACAGGTTCATACTCTCATACAGGTTCATACCCTCATACAGATTCATACCCTCATACAGATTCATACCCTCATACAGGTTCATACCCTCATACAGGTTCATACTCTCATACAGATTCATACCCTCATACAGATTCATACCCTCATACAGGTTCATACTCTCATACAGGTTCATACTCTCATACAGATTCATACCCTCATACAGGTTCATACCTCATACAGATTCATACCTCATACAAGGTTCATACCCCTCATACAGGTTCACCCCCATACAGGTTCACATACTCATACAGATCCATACCCCTCATACAGGCTCATACTCTCATACAGATTCATACCTCATACAGATTCACCTCATACAGGTCTACACTCATACAGGTCTATACTCTCATACAGGTCTACACTCTTCATACAGATTCATACCCCATACAGGTTCATACCTCATACAGGTCTATACTCTCACAGGTCTGTTCCCCATACAGGTTCATACCTCATACAGATTCATACCCTCATACAGGTTCATACCCTCACACTATACCCTCATATTCAGGTTCATACCCCTCATACAGGTTCATACTCATACAGAACCATACTCACACAGATTCATACCCCCATACAGGTTCATACCCCTCATACAGGTTCATACTCTCATACAGATTCATACCCTCATACAGATTCATACCTCATACAGATTCATACCCTCATACAGATTCATACTCTCATACAGGTTCATACCCTCATACAGGTTCATACTCTCATACAGATTCATACCCTCATACAGATTCATACTCTCATACAGGTTCATACCCTCATACAGGTTCATACTCTCATACAGATTCATACCCTCATACAGATTCATACTCTCATACAGGTTCATACCCTCATACAGGTTCATACCCTCATACAGATTCATACCCTCATACAGGTTCATACTCTCATACAGGTTCATACCCTCATACAGATTCATACCCTCATACAGATTCATACCCTCATACAGGTCCATACCCTCATACAGGTTCATACTCTCATACAGATTCATACCCTCATACAGATTCATACCCTCATACAGGTTCATACTCTCATACAGGTTCATACTCTCATACAGATTCATACCCTCATACAGGTTCATACCCTCATACAGGTTCATACTCTCATACAGATTCATACCCTCATACAGATTCATACCCTCATACAGGTTCATACTATCATACAGGTTCATACCCTCATACAGGTTCATACTCTCATACAGATTCATACTCTCATACAGATTCATACCCTCATACAGATTCATACTCTCATACAGGTTCATACCCTCATACAGGTTCATACTCTCATACAGATTCATACCCTCATACAGATTCATACCCTCATACAGATTCATACCCTCATACAGATTCATACCCTCATACAGGTTCATACCCTCATACAGGTTCATACCCTCATACAGATTCATACTCTCATACAGATTCATACTATCATACAGGTTCATACCCTCATACAGGTTCATACCCCCATACAGGTTCATACCCTCATACAGGTTCATACCCTCATACAGGTTCATACCCCCATACAGGTTCATACTCTCATACAGGTTCATACCCTCATACAGATTCATACTCTCATACAGGTTCATACCCTCATACAGGTTCATACCCTCATACAGGTTCATACCCTCATACAGATTCATACT